CGTGAAATCGGTGCCTGTATCGGAGGTCACTGACATTATACTATTAGTATTAGAGACGTACAATGTATTTCCTTTAACAATCTACTGTCTAAAGGAGGAGATTATCAATTCGACTGTTTTTTTTTATATGCACGCAATATCTTTAGCAAAAATGAACAGATATAAGATTTATGCCTTACAATAGTTTTTCGTAAGTTAGTATACAATTATTATAACGTCACGCGATGTGCTTGACGTTAAATGAATTATGTAACTTTGTAAATTTATTTAATTAATTTACTTTGACAAAATAATATATTATATTTATTTATTGTTTTTATTTAATTTAAAATTATATAATGCGAAATATACAATATAAATAAATAGGAAATCATAAAGTATAATTTAATTTAGAGAGAAAATATGCATATTACTTGTAAGTACTACTACTTTGTCAGCTTCTGATTTTCTTTATAATAAAAAATGTTAGATAGATGCTAATATTTTCTTTTTTAACGAATCTATTATTAAAATTATGTAATAATAAATTGGACTTTGGATTAGAGTTCGCTAACCTTTGTCTGTACATATAATGTACCCATTAAATATTTGTACAGGAGTCGTAATAAGTGTTGATTTACAACGAGCTGAGGTAACTATGTGTGGTTCGTGTATGATTACGATTATAAATGTACCTTATTGTAATTATTATATTTACATAAACATATTATATCGTGGTAGACTTGTACAAAGTTTTTCTCTATCTCACTATTTCTGAAGAGAAGAAATTTAGTTGAAGTAGAGTAGATAACGTGCACGATGCACTTTTTATGTATATGATTGTTGTCTATTATTTTGTATAAAACATTGCATATTGTCATTTTTATTTGATCTGATTTTCTTTCGATACATAATAAATGTACTAATTCTTCCAAAAAACCATCCTTCTATAATTATATTCAGTAGCAGAATAATACTACAGTCCCTTCGCTCACATATATGATGTTTATTTAAATTATCATTTGCTTCTTCTTTATTCCATTAATTTGGGGTCGGCGTAATAGATTTTTTTTCTTCCATTCATCCCTGTTCGCAGTCATCTCGATATGTACTTCCTTCCACCATATCGTCTTTCACACAGTCCATCGATCTCTTTTTTGGCCTTCCTCATTTGGCTCTTATAACCATTCATATATACCATTCATATATATTCATATATAATCATTCATATGTAACACCTTCCTTAAAATATTATCTTCATGTGATGTGAAGTTACAGTGCATATTGATTTATATAGTGCGGTATAACATTCTCTCTCATTCTTTTGGTATGACAACATAAGAGGGGCTACCTACAATAAATGGGCTTCAAAACTTGTTATGATTTCCGTGGTGGTATTCATATACATATATCATATATGTATATAAATTATAAGCTATATATATAGCTATTCCAGTAATATCAAAAAAGTAACGGAAATAATGCACATATAAGTATTTATCTTTATTACTTTCCGGTTGCTTTTATCGTAATTTCACCGCAATTTCTCACCCTACAAGCCAGAGCTCAGATTACAAACCAAGCTGTTTGTGAACAGAAGTACTTATGCAGGCGAGTTTGCATCCCCCATCAGTGTCAAGTACACTCGTTGCTCTCTGGTAACTTTTATTTTCTTTTTCAACAAACATACATATTTTATAATGTTACTGCTAGCTGACCCGCGCATCTTTCTCTGCATCACATTTACTCAAGTTTAATTCTATCTTTTTAAATTATAGTCTATGTGTAATTCTGATGATTCTATAAGTTATATTACTGTAGAGTTTATCAAAATTCGTTCAGTAGTTTTTGCGTGAAAGAGTAAATAAACATCCATCCATACTCACAAACATTCGCGTTTATAAATTAAGATGATGATATAAAGCTAGTTTTAGCTAAACAATTCTGTGGTCAATTAACACAGCATTGTCTAGTCCCAAGCTAAACAGAGCTTGTGTTGTGGAAATTCTGTAATACATTTTTTTTTAGAAATACAAACACATTATATGTACATAAAAATATTATGAACGATGCATACAATCATAAATATATATCCAACCCGCGATCATTGAAATTAAAGCGGTGTGCTAAACCGAGATCACCGAGCAGTCAGAATGTGTTTTAACAATATTTTTATAATGTATGCATTATACGTTAAAAATATATTGTTAAAAGGAATGATACATCCACCTGCGCTAACGATATTGGCGGCGTACCGTATACGCTGACGGGGCACCAGTGGAGGATGATAAAATGAGCATGAGGTCAGGTCAGTTAGCCAATCGTGACAAATTTTACCACCATATTATCATGTATGGTTTCCAGGGGCTACCGCGTGGAAGTCAATCTAATATGGTACATTGCAAGCATTGGAGTTAACAATCCACATTACTAACAATCCCGTTCCCGCTTTTTAACAGTATTACAGAGAGCCACAAAGTTATTTAAGACTTGTAAATAATATTATAATATAAAACCAATTTCAATTGTTGATAATTAGTTTAACAGAATTAATAAACTTATTATTTGCATTGTTGTTTGTTTTCTGTTTCTGAATTGTCATAATCAAGACTGTATTGTCAACCGACTGTACAGTGTAAATAAAGAACGTTATCATTTTAGGAATACTAAGTGATATTGTTGTAGTTTGACAGTTATTTTACAATAATAATCACAGAGCAATTCACACAGCGCCATATAGACCCAAGGTAAGTACTAGATGACTGATAGAAATACATACATATTTTTTTCGTAAATACATACATAGAAAACACTCAGAGCGATACAAACAATCATACTCATGTACCTCGCGAGAAACGAACCCGCGACCATCGGAAGTAAGGCGGTGTGCTAAACTGCTAGACCACCGAGGCCGTCTAATCACTTTTTTTATAGAAAACAATATATCCTTCTATGTAGAAACATATATAGGAAAGGAGTTAACATATTAAAACGGTAAAAATAAAACCCATGGAAATGAAATGACCATAAAATCACGTGCCGAGCTGTGTTATCTTGTATAAAGTGGCCATTATGTTTCATCGATTCCGGTAATACAGATTTCATTGCGCCATCACATCGCCTTAACGTGTACGATATGCAAATACTCACTTATATAATAGTTAAATATTGTTACGTGTAGATTACTCGCGTGGCAGAGCCACGGAGAAGGTTATGTTCCTGTATATTATTTACTAATGGATGATAATGAAATGCTGCACACTCCTGCGTTAACGGTTTTCGTTGATGGGGACCCAGTTGACGAGTTAGCTTATTGAAATCATGATAAATCTGATATGGCACTAGTAATGACAGGAACCTCGGTGGTCGAGCGGTTTTATCACACCGCCTTGTCTGATTGTTTGTATTGGTAAGGCGTTTGCTATATATATTAGGTAAGAATTTATAAAAATAATATCTATATTTAGTTGTCTAGTCCCATAACACAAACTCTAGCTATGTTGGGACTAGATGGCGCTTTGTGAATTGTACTGAGATATTATAATGGAGTCTAAGTGCGAAGTACTAACTATCCTCTCATTTTTGTACTTTACTTTATTCAAAAATTAGTTTTTAAATACTGCGTTTTGTTGAGAATAATTAAATATGAAAAATAATTTGTATAATGTTCTTATAAATATAATAAAATTTAATATAAAATAGAATAAAATTTATTACAGCACCACAATAATAATGATATTTTTTTTATTATCTAACAATAAAAATAAAATATTACGAATGGGAAAATGGAACCTGACTGGACTGAAGTCGGAATTTAATCCTTACTTCCTTACTAATATTATAAATGCGTAGTAGCTCTGCCTGCCTGTCTCTCTTTCACGCCAAAACTACTGAACCTATTAAAATGAATTTTGGTATACGCATAGTCTAGAGTCTAGACTACCATGTGCATACTAGTGCATTTATAAATATATAAGTGATATGATAAAGGGCATAGGTAACTGTTTAATACTAAAAAAGGGTTGATGGGGTTTGCACGTCGAGAGCATATCTGGTTGTAACTATAATCGTTCGGATATGGTTGATTTTATAATAAAAATTCTAAGAAAATAGATATAGATTTGTTAAGAATATTTCCAGCACAAATTATCAAAGGGTATTGATGGAAATTGCCAGGGTTAGTCAACGATAACCAACTGTGGCTTTTCGTACTTGTAGGCACTATTTATGTCGTGGGAATTGAGAATATAATTATTGTGGCTTATTCAAGAGTGAATAGATGCGGTATCTCGTCCTCGACCCTCTTGTTTGATTATTCTGTGGTATTGAACTTGCTCATTGTGTATTTTTTACAAGAGTCTGTAAACAGTTTTAATGTTTACTTATAAATGTATAAATAAAGGTAATGCACTTTTACCTAAGCAGATTTTGTGTTTTTTTTTACTTAAGCATACATTGCTCGTAAATTTTACTCACCTTTTATTTTCTTGTCTAAAAACGTATCCACGACTAATGGATGATTTTTTTATGTATATTATTTGGTCTCAGATTATTAGCTGAAGGTATTTCACAGCTTTAGTAACGTAGGTATAACATAATTGTCTTCGTAATATCTATCATACCTGATTTTGAGATATGATCATATGTTTATCAAATCTTATTCAAATCGGGTCAGTCTTCGCCCAGTAACCATTACAAGTACTAAATTTTAAACATTAGAATCTGAGCATACTAACTTCTTTACGAATAATGTTACCCATAAATTTATAGGAATTAGCACTACAGTTAGTGATAGAAAAGGTTTCACGATATTAACAAATAATTTTCTAACAAGTATGTACATTTAACTAAAAACAAATCTTCAGAAGAGAAAATTAAAAAAACGTAAAAAAACGTTTTATTTTTATTTATCACAGTCATGTTGCCTATTATTTTACTATATGTAAATTTTATTTTGTTTTTAGATTGGGTCGAGGTGGCCCATATTCTGCTTGCCCATACTCCTGGCGGCGTCGGCATGTGGAAGCGATATCCTGATGATCACAATGGGTGGCACCAAGTCCCATAAAATGCCGTTTTGGGAACTTGCAAGAGGACTTATTAGAAGGTAAGAAGTACATAACAATACAGGCGTTTAACAGCCTTGGTGGTCGAGCGGTTGTAGCACTACTTACTTTCAATTACTGATAATATTACATACTTTCAATAGATCTATTTACGCAAAGTACAAGCATTTGTATTAATCATTATAATTGTTTGTATTAATATGGATGTTTTATACATGATCTGTGTATATTATTATAATAATCTATGTATATTAGGTATTTAAGTTATTTATATTAGCTCCTTAATACCCATAGTACAAACTCGCTTCGTTTAGTACTAGTATGTAATATTATGTTATCTGTGGTACTAGATAAAGCTGTGTGAATTCTGATTTATTACTATTATACAATGAAGAAAATATTAATTTGATAAATTAATTGGTAACGAAATAATATAATAGAAAAATAAATAGTTATGTTAAAATAAATAGAATAATCTTCTACCTACGCAAATGTCTATGACAAAGAAGTTATTCGACATTAAAGATACTTTAAATTTTTATTTCAGAGGCCACAACATTACGTTCATAAGTGCATTTCCACCTGACTTCCACATTGATGGTCTAGAGGAGATAGCACCTGAGCGTTTAGTGTCCTATGTCAAAGGCTACATGACCTTTGATCTGGTGGGCGCTAGGATGAAGGGCGAGGAGCCGCTACCACTGATGGATATCATCAGATTTGGATATGAGGTATAAAAGGTTATCATATGTTAGATAGTAAAATTATAAATATACTAACTGACTCGAACTTCGTCTGCATCATACTTACTTAACATTTATCATTATATTTCGCCGAATTTATCTAATATCTTTTTAAGTTATAGCCTATGTCTTATTCTGAAGTATACACACTATATTACTGTAAAATTAAGATAAAATTAATTAAGATGAAATATATTAATCAGATCGACCTCCACACGGAGCTCACTAGAGTTTGTAATAAAATGCAAAGAGTCGTATCGATTCCAATAATTCATTTCTGTATGTTATGTTGTGGAATATGCTCGCCAAGTGTTAAATAATTCTGACAGTTCTTTTTTATCAACTCAAGTTTTTTATGATTTGGTTTATGTAGATTCTTATTTTGAACCAAAACTTAACCGGAGTAGAAGTGTCCGAAGAATAAGATTATTCGTTGCTTTAAAGTGCCTATATTATTATACAGGCAAATAGAATTATGAGAAGTATTGCTACACTGGAAGCTGTTTTAATACTTATAAGTTGTAATTTTTTATGAACTACTACATACCTAGGTGTTCTTAGATGATACCTATTATTATTCACATGTAACATCATGTTATTAGATGGTACTAAAAAAATTCCGAGGGATTGGTTCAGATGTCTGGTGTTAGATATCACAATACGACTACTGTTAGGTTCGTTTTTTTTATAAAAGATCTCTTCTCCTAAGCAATTATTATTATTAGTATTATGTGATGTATTTAATTTCCATATTTCAGGCATGCGACGCCTTCTTCAGTGACTACGAGACAAAATCTTTCCTCAGATCTGGAAGGAGCTTCGATCTCGTCATACTTGATGGCACTTACCCGGAATGTGCTTTAGGCGTAGTTCACAAATTCAATGTTCCCTTTATGTACATCAACACTGTTGGTTTCTATGCTATGCCATTTAGCATCTCTGGCAGTCCAACCCCATACTCAGTTACTCCATTCTTCGGGAGAGCGTTTACTGACAACATGGGTTTCATAGATAGAACTTTAAACACTGCTTGGCAGGTTGCTACGGTTACACTACATAGTTTAAGTATTATGGTACTGAATGGTGTTCTAAAGAGGCATCTTGGACCCCAAACACCTCAGTCCTACGACATGGCAAAGAACGTCAGCTTTATTCTTCAGAATGGACATTACTCAGTTTCTTATCCAAGGCCGTATTTACCGAATGTTGCTGAAGTGGCATGCATTCATTGTAAAGAAGCTAAAAGACTAAGCCCTGTAAGTATTCATTGCGCTTTTTAAGTGTTTATGTTGTTATTTCTATTAGACAAATCTGTGAAGAAAACTATGTAATGCTTCTCTTTCAATGGATCTAGAAAAAATATCTGTTTAAATAATGTGTTCTAAGGAATTTTATGGATTTTAATAAATATTTGAAAGATATACAATAAATAATTTCTGGTTTTAATACATACCAAAAAATTGGCTACGAATTGCATACTATTGGTGACTCCAGATTAGCATGACGTAGGTTCAGATTATCCCTTGCCATTGATAATACCACAATAGTCTGCAAGAGATATTATAAAGGATCCATATTTGATTAAATAACTATTGTTTCAGGACATTGAAGAATGGATCTCCGGTGCAGGGGAAGCTGGTTTCGTCTATGTATCTATGGGTTCTTCTGTTAGAACTAATAAAATGCCACTAGCTGCTCATCGTATGATCGTCAATGCTTTAGGAAGACTACCACACAGGGTACTTTGGAAGCAAGATGGTGAACAAAACCTGACAGACATTCCTTCCAATGTGAGACTTTATAAATGGCTTCCACAGCAAGATTTGCTTGGTGAGTTATTAGATATAATTTTAGTCTGACCTTTCGGAGATTATATTAGATACTATTTTAAGCATAAAGCGTTCTCTAGGTATAAGAGGTTTGTTTATGATTTAATGGGACCATACTCAATTTTGATTTAAAAATACACATTTTAACACTTGTACAGTAAAATTTGTGACTGTATCTACATGTATATAAATAAAGTAGTGCAAGATAACATATAATCAGGAATATTTTGGGAGAAAATATTTTATAAGATCCACTTGAAAGTAAGCAGATTTTTAGAATCCGTGTAAGAGATATTAAAATAATATTTATTCAATCATGTCAATTATTTTCCAGGACATCCCAAAATTAAAGCTTTCATCACTCACGGTGGTCTTTTGAGTATGTTTGAGACAGTCTATCATGGAGTACCTATTGTTACGATACCAGTATTCTGTGATCACGATGGAAATGCAGCTAAAGCTGAAATCGACGGTTATGCCAAAAAACTAGATCTCCAACATTTAACCGCTGATGAGCTATATAAGGCTATCAAAGAAGTGGTATACGAACCCAAATATAAAAGGGAAGTAAAAAAGAGACAGTTTCTGTTAAGGGACCAGAAAGAAACACCCCTAGAACGAGCTATATACTGGACCGAGTATGTAATAAGACACAAAGGCGCTTACCACTTACAATCTCCAGCGAAGGATTTGAATTTCATACAATATTACTTATTGGATGTGGCCCTAGTATTTATACTTACTCTTATCACAATTTCAGCTCTTGTTACCTATGCGATAAGGTTTGGTTTTAATAAGTTAGTCACTTATGTACAAAGTTGGCGAGTGAATGCATTGATGGATAAGTCAAATAACTTGTTGCAACGTTCCAAGATTTTAATAGATACAACTACAATATCAAAGAAAAAACTATAATGACTGACATTGTAAAAGACTTTTGCTCATTAATGTATTAAAACAGAGTTACCATAACGACCAGGGAAAATTTTTTACAAATAGAAATTATTGCGACTGTAAATATTTAGGTTAGATTTAGTACTTAAGGATATAAACAAATTATTATTAATTATTTGAAAGTGATATATATTATAAGAAATAAACATGACATTTGTATAACATATTTTTTACTTCATTGTTGTAAATATACATAACAATAATGGTGAACATTTTATGTAGCCTCAGACCTTGCCTATACTTAAAGTCGGTAGCAACTTATTATTTTGGGGAACAAGTAAATTGCGACATGTTGATTCGGAACTAAAGTTAAGTGAAGTTAAATTAAACGAATACAGATATACGGAGTAGTAACTAAAGTCTTACAAGTAATATGATCATTTGTTTTACGAGTTACAGTTAATTACCTATATTTAAGTGATATTTTTATAGTGCTCAGAATAAAAGATAAGAAATAAAACACTTTTGTACTGATAGGATATTTTTATTGTGCAACAACTACAGTGGTACAAAAATATGAGAATTGCGACTTGTGAATTAATTAGAGAGAAAGAAAAAAAAATTTGGTACTTATTCATTGAATTTTTTTAGATATTATAGAATCCGAAATATGATCTTCTGTATATAGTAAAAGAATGTTCTTAATTTAATTGGTTATTAAGTGTAATTAATTGCAATAAATTTTTAATGGTATGTGACTTTTTACTTTATTATTTTTTCGATTACAGAAAAGAATATTTTTTTTCATACTACTAAAGCTTAATGAAAATTACACTCATATTACCAATGTGTATTAATAGGTACGTGTTCATGCCAGTCTAGATACGATCGTAGTGTCAAATTTAAAAATTATGATTTACTTTTCAATACATTTCATTCATATATAATACTACTAATTAGAAAATATTTTTTAATATATTATAAAAATATTTTACTGATTATTCTGTTTTTTTGTTAATATCCAACATGTAATCAGCAGCGATGTAATATTATGCCTAGGCATGCCGTCCCAGTGTCAGGGTGTCTTTATTATGATTATTCTGGGTTGTACTTATATAGCAGACATACTCGTATATGGGATAGTATAAGTATGTTTCTGTGGTCTATTTTTTAGATGTTTTATTAGGGATTGTACTAATTCATTAGGTTTACTTATTTTTTTATTGCATGTAGTGATATAACGAGAGATTTCCTGCTATATCTTAGAGTTTGATGTTATTTGTGTATTTGCTCTAATCTTCTGCTTACATCCTAATCATCCTACAACATACTGTTCTGGTATCTTCTAAAGATGGAGGATATAAGATTCTTTTCAAATTATATACCTACACTAAATTTAGGCATTGATAGCCCATTGTATTTATCCATCACTTCACTTTATAAGTACGTACTATCAATGCTAAACCCCGATTCAGTAAATTAAAGGTAGATAAAAAAGATTTCTTTTTTCTCAATAGGCCAGGAGATGCACTTCTTTACTTATTCGCATCTCAAATTTAGACTCCTTATTAAAAATACCAACGAAATATGGATTACATCTCAATTTTGACCGGATCCAGCGTTTGATTAGTTATATTATTGTTCTTCATTTCCTCTTCGGGGTTGATTTTCGTTGGGATAGTCGTCCCCGTTGTAACGGCAAACTTCATTATGTTTCCTAGAACATTTAAAAAATACTTACGACCTAGATAACTTCATCAGAATAAAATAGTATACGTCTTTTACCAAATGAAATGCGACATATTTCGTTACAATTGGCTGAGAAACATCCAGACATAATAATGAAATTCACATTAACATTTATAATATTATTAAGGGCTCTGCATTTCGCTTGCAGTGCAAGGCATTAAGTTTTGCAATTAATTTTTAATGATCACTTGCAATGTACCTATTATGCTGCCTCGGGAGCTTAATATACGTTAAAATTTTGATCTGCTTCTTTTGCAGCGGTATATTCGGTCTTTCTCCTAATGGACTCTTCTGATGGGAATAACATATTATTATTACCACATTCTATAGAATTTTGTGATCTCTAAAATATATTATTATTATTATAGTATAAAACAAAGTTGCTGTTTTTGTTTGTTTATTTCTTCGCTTACTTTTTCTAAACTATGCAACGAATTTTGGTACATTTTTCACATACACGGAAAACCATATGAAGCAAGATCGGTACTAGTTAGTAATAAAGAGAAAAAAAATAGAATCCAATACCTCTAAAGTGGAAGATAATGCTGCCAACAGTACCCATACTGGCAAACACCAAAAGGATCCATTTAAGCACATTGACTATACGCACGGGCAAGAATAACTGGTTTTTTAACATGCTCACAAACGTTTTGTTTAAGGCTAGACCCTATAAAGAAAGGATGAATTAAAGAAAATAATAAGAGCTGTATTGTAAACCAATATTTAGTTAGATGGAGCGATAGCCACAATCTTGTTGGAAATTAATGGATGACGAGACTTAAGAATATTCCTTATATGTACTTCTGACTTATAGAGCCTAAGTATACTATACTTGTCTAGAAGGATCTACATTTACAAAGACTACCAATAGACTGCCATCTATTGAGAAGATCAGTTGATTCTGGATGGTTAAATCATGATGATGTATGTACAAAGCATGCAAATAGTTTAATTAGCGGAAATACAATAACGAAATTTCCGAAACCCCTGGAATGATGTAACTGTAAATAGGATTAAAAGTATCCTAGTTATTGATTTTATTATTCAGGATATGATCAAACACAAAATTAGACAGTTTAAGAAGTCTAGCCGCTTAGCACACTGGCTTAGTCTAGGCTCGATTACTCGAACGATAGACTTATAATCGTAGTATAATTTATGCTTACTCTAACACTACATGGCACTGTGAGAATTGTTGCAGTATATTATTATTATTATTATATAGTAATAAAATGCTGTCCAGCGGTTTAAGTTCAATTGATTAATGTCATTATCCCAATCAAACAAGTGGTGATTTTGATCAATCTTTCTTTAGGCGAATAGATCAATAAATTAGGTACGAAAGTTATAGTTTTACCTCTTCAAGCCAAAATAGTGGAGCTATTGTATCGGGAAGGTTTTTACACAACTCTATTTTTTCATTTTTCATTAACTGAATGTTGAACTGAATCCGCTGTTTTGCAACCAACGGTGTTCCAGATACCTGAATATTAACAATATTCATATTAGTTGAGAAAGAAATGCTTAATATTTATATAAATTATAACATACTCGTAATTTCATTTTATTTACATTACTATAATTGACACAAAAATGTACCTTTTGTATACATAAGTAAAATGGTAAGTAAAATACCTACAAATTCAAATAATTTAAATTGAAATATATCAATAAACAATGAGAAATTGTAATTTTATTCATTCGTTATTTATTGAAATATTACCCTAAGAGAGTTTTGGAATTGCACATTATTTGAAATTAATAAAATATTAGTATAGTAAATTTAAATGCAAAATATTTTTACAGAATACGTTAAAAATTATCAGTTACCATTACAACATCAGTATAATATAGGTACTCACCGTTTCAAAATCAATAGCAATAGCATGTGCTTCCGGGTCCGGGTTAAGACCCACTACATTTTTTAATAATTGGGGGTCACTGTCAAGGAAATGCGGCATTGAAGCATACATTGGGGCTCCTATACACTTTGTTAGGTCCATAAGTCCTTTTAGAGGACATTTGTCTGGTGCCTCGCACATGCAATTTAATTCTGGATCATTTGCAAAGTCCCCAATGTTGGCGGTGTAGTGATTTGTCGGGATTGATTTGTATGATGTCTTCTTTACAAACCAGGGTCTGAATGGCCTAAAAAATATAGTATCAAAGTATATTAATGTAAATACATGTAATAATACATGTATTTACATTAATATATACATAAATGTACTCAGTTAAAACCTGCTAAAAAGTATGTTCGACAGTCTAGCTAGAACTTACGTTTAAGATGCGGATGTGCCTTGTTGTCGAGTAAGATTTTATTTAAAAATATAACATGGCTGACACCAAAGCCTGCGTAAAAATCTGACTATCTAATCTATTTCACAGAATAAAATAAAAACAAAATGTATGTAGGTACCTGCATAAATCTCCTGAAAAAGTCATCAAGCGATCTTTCTCAGTTAAGAAGGGAGGAAAGATGGTGCCGTCAGTGCCTTCGTATTCATTACAGGAGTCTCTCCAGATATCTAACTGTGGCTTGTCATCAATAGCTGTGACCTTGCCAACATCCATCACATTTCGTATGCCTCTTTTTACAGTCACTACATGCCGATCAACGGTTGCATTGCGCTAAAGAAAAATAGACAATTTAATTTAATATTCATAAACGAGTATCAAATGCATTTAGCTAACGAAATTTTTTTATTGGTTTGGTTTGGTTCTACGCTAATGGTATAAGCTGACCAAGTACTAGTAGATGGTGATGGCCTAAATATGATGACTGCCAGGACAGCTAGTCCATATGAAGAATTACCTAATTACAATTATGTTCAGAGTTGCTAGTAAAATAAATAAATCATAAATGCCGTGATGTCACAATCAGTGACAAGTACGACCACCATAAGTTTTCAGTCATTGTTGCTAGTTTCTATTCTTTTTACGCGGGATATTTGTGGTCCCTTCAGCTGACGTGAGTACAATGAGGTTCTAAATATAATTCTGGATTGTACAGATTTAGGGAATAAGCATTAAGGAAATTAAAAAAATACAGGTTAAGGTTTCCGATTTTAATATAGTGTTAGGATCATTTATTATTACGATTAATATTATTCCAAATATTACCTTTCCAAATATAGAAAATCTAAACTGATTGTTGGGTTCAAAGATTAAACTATCACCGCCTTCTTTCTTTATCACAGTACACACTGCCTTTGGTGCAAATTCTGTTCTTGCACAATTGATTATCGTGCCTCTAAACAAAATATCTAGAACTTTTACCCTCATGAACATATCAGGAGGATTGTCGAAGATACCGTTGATGGCTTTCCCAACCATATTAAGCATGGATGGTTTCTCCCGGGCTGCTATTGTGGCAATTCCCTACAACAAAGATTTAATATAAGTAACTATTATTATGGAGGTCCCCCATCGGAGATTACCGAAGACTGTTATAAACACCTGTATATTTTAGCTTATAACTGTGTTATAATTAATTGTGGTCAAAGAAATATCATATTTAGTTAGGCATTTACATTTAGAGAAGGATATGTCACCACGCAATACGATAGGATAGAGATCAAGAACGAGAGTATCTGTATTCAAATAGTATAAAGTAAAATAGCTCTTTTTCCATTTGTCAGTTTTCCATGAGACGAATGTTTGCTCTATAGCAAATGTTCCTATGAACATCAGAACTCATAAAAAATGCTATCATATACATCAGTAACATGTGGCTTTCGTTTGAAATGAATTGCAACTTCTGAGAACTAAGATGCCATGCCTCGGCGTCTTGTAATTTTATATCTTTATTTATAAGTTCAAACAGTCTAGAAAAATAAATTAACAAATTGTACTATGTACTACAGTCTGAGCGTTGAATGTGTATTTTTCCGTCTTCCTTTTATAGCATTACAGTAATATAAAAACTTGCCAGTGAATATACATGGGGCCACACTAAAATTTCTTCACCAGTCAATCCTGGACCAGAAAGGTCAGGTCGGAAGATAAATTTATCCAACTTCTTGTAAGTGATTGTATCATCTTCTTCATGATCTTCAACTTCTACTTTTTCTTTCCATTCCCTGTGTTATAAGAATGTAAATATTTATTAATGTATATTAAAATAAAATGAATTTTAAAAGAGGACATTTTTTTAAAATTAACATAGGGGACCATAAAAAAAAATTAACAATAAATGTTCTTTGTGTATGTGAACATAATTTGAATAATATTGAAACTCTAAATTCTGTAGCTAATTAAAATATTGTAATTTTAATTAAAATGACAAACAAGGAGACGGCCTGCCTGACAGTATGTGGCAACCATAACCCGTATACGTACAACAACACTACACACTTAATATTAGCTTGTCATCCTATTGATATCCCTCATGCGTTACCATTCAGAAAAACTAGTGCCATGAGTCACTGCGATATCTTAATCTTCAACCGAAATACAGCTTACAAAGCAAGCTGCATATGGCTGAAATAATAATAATAAACCCGGCCAATCCACACAGCGCCAACTAGTCCCAAGCTAAAGAGAGCTTGTGTTATAGGTGCTAGTCGACTGATAAAATACTTTGATTAAATTTTTTTATAAATTCATAAATAATTTACTTAGAAAACATGCAGACCCATACTTATTTTCATTATCCATAATTATACTTATGAATACTAAGTTAGTACCTTGTGAGGAATCAAGCTAGCTAACAAACTGTCGAACTAACAAACAAAAACCATCGAAACCGTCAATTAATAGATGAGGCAGATGTGTCCAAGCACAAATGTATAAGGTTTCAGTAAAATGTGTAGAAGATTTAGCTGGCTCAAGAAGGATTTCATGGTTTGAATACAATAAGAGAATTAAGTAGGGAGCATAGAAAACAATAATTTTACAATGTCCTAGCAAACAGAGTAGGCCGTAAATTATATATTCTATTTTAAAAAGTTACTTTTGCGTGTAGTTTTCTTAGGGTTCAGCCAACAACGTATTATTAAGTATTCTATAGTACAAGTCTTCCGACGTTTTTATTTCTTAGTCTGTATGTTTTTTACACAGGCTAATATGTACCAGTCATGATTTATTATTTATATGACAGATAAATGAGTAGTCGTTTTGCAAAACATGTCGTCGTAAATTACAGGTTTGTATCAAGGTGACACAGTAAAGATGTTCGGCCTATTGTAAAGTATAACAATAGAAAAGAATCTTATTGAGACAGATTTAACGCAAACCTATACCGATATTAAAAAGAATAGCTTTTCCATGTCAAGAATGTCACCTGAAAGATCAAAGTAAAAACACATCGATGCCAGAGAACGCAAATGGAAAATTAAATCCTATACTAAGCTCAGTCGGCTTGCCGTCGTGGATATAATAGGCTTAACCCTTCTCTTTTGCAAAGAGAACTCAGCATAATGACCGTAGCGAGGATCTGTAATGGGCTGTTATGCTAATGATAATGGCAAATTTTGAAGTACATTTTTCTCAGAGATTAAACTCATCAATAAATTAAAGTCAAAGTATATGTGGAGGTACTTAATTTGTAAAATGGTGTTGTGTATGAAGATGGAAATGTCGTATTGTATGAGCTAATGCATGAGGATATAATTATGCCACATAGCCGAGAATTCACCATTCATGTTGACATACAGAGTACAGATTAGGCGTAAAAAATATATCAAATTGAAAACAGTAGAAGACTCATAAATCTGGACCCTTTCGCCAAGAAACATAGTGGAAATCTGAAGAAAAATTTGGTACTTTTTATATTAACCTAATAACGTCGCTGCGCCATTTGTATGAGGAATAAACAAAATATTTTCAACAAACTACAATTTTCCACTTATGGGATCTGTTCAGATTTTTCTATTCTATTACTGACATTCAACTAGGGATAACAATAATAATAATTTTGGATAAACTTACTCAAAATAATAAGGTCCGATTTCTTTAACGATCGGGATGGCTCCATTATGAACTTCCTCAGCGTTAGTATAGTTAAAAACATACACTTTGAAGTCAAGAGCGAAAGGTACTTTTTCCCACATCTTGCGAACATCCGTTCACAACGATTTCTGTTGTATTACAATGAAAACTTCTATTACCGACATTCACCTAGGGATAACAACATAATAATTTTGGATAAACTTACTCAAAATAATAAGGTCCGATTTCTTTAACGATCGGGATGGCTCCATTATGAACTTCCTCAGCGTTAGTATAGTTAAAAACATACACTTTGAAGTCAAGAGCGAAAGGTACTTTTTCCCACATCTTGCGAACATCCGTTTTCTTTGACAACGCCATTTCCTGTTGTATTACAATGAAAACTTTGTTTACTCCTGCTATTGTGAATTTCAATTCCAATATTATTGACAAAAGAAATTTCTCAATTCGGCTATAGTTGATTGTGCGTTGTACAAAGAGACTATCTCTGGACTATGAGACTAGTGGAAACAAATATTATCCATTCACCTTGATGTTACAAGTACATGAAATTATAGACAATTCTGAATCTAATTTATATTCATGTTTAATTTTATTCATTAATATATTTTTATAATATGATTTTTATTCAACAAAAATGTATAAATTTATAAACTAGCGAACAGTTCGGTTTCGCACGGGTGCATTAAATATTTGATAATACATAATCGGTGAAGTGAACTAAAAACTACATTAAAATCCATTGGCTGGTTTAAAAGATTTAAGCATACAGACACAACAGCAACTTTGTTTTATAGTATTTAAAAGTATATTTTGTATATAATTAATTCCATCTATGGATCTTCGACATGTAGTGAAAATGAAATGAAACAAAAATACTAATGCATTTTCATTGGTATCTCTCGTTAAGGGCATAATTTGTAAATATCTTACCGTATCTTCTTAGACTACTGGTATATATTAAAAGTGGGGTTTTAACCCGTTGCGAGTAAGGTAAAACATATATACATACCATATAGATAAAACATTTTCCTAAGTGGCTTGAAATCTCTATAATTATTAACTTTTCTTTGTACATTTATGATAGGTTGTAAAAGAAGCGGCACTGCATGAATAAGTAGTTTTTTTACGTTAACCATATGAAAAGTCTCACGGTAATGAAGTTCATGAAACAATTTAATATTTAAAACGCTACTCGTCTTCGATGAGCTGATTTGTAACTGATTAAATTTATATTAAGGTAAGATATTCCTAAACCATATCACATCGTGTCGAAACTTTGATATTCATCCATAAACCAAAACTACATATATAATAGTCAATATTTTTTATGTTTGTGGCCTCGGATTTTTTTTCTAGGTGATCAGATTTTTAAGGTTCTATTTTTTATTTGAAGGTATTGTCGCTTCTTACTTGGTACCATTTAATTTAATTAATAAACTCATCAGTAGTTCTTGAATTATCCTTAAATGTATTTGAATAAAAAATTCTCGTGACCATTTTTCATTTGCGCTATTTCGATTATATGCGTTATATTTTGCTCTATGAAAATAGTCTATTGGCCAGTAGTAGAAAGAATTATCAGTATCAGCTTTATTAAGTCAAGAATATGAATATAACTTTCAAAATGAATATCGTTTGTTAGTTTAAAGTTTAAATAAATAATCTGTTTGTGTAGTTCCATCATAAAGCTACTACACAAACAGATAACAGGAAGTTGTGGTAGTTTATTATGACATATAAATTTATTTACCTTCTTTAATTGACCTTTTAATAGTGTAGGAAAGAGGAACCATCCAAATATTATAGCGAATATCGCAGTCCCAACCGATCCAATTAATAATTTTAAATGCTTCGGCACGTTCATTTTTAAATATCTGTAAGAAGATTAAAAAAAAATGATATTAAAGAAGAGTAAATGTAGACATACTTATTATTTTTATATGACTGGAATAGTAAATACCCCAAAGTTTTAGTAAAGTATAGTATTGTATTTTTTAATCATTGGAATGGCAAACAATGGCTCACCTGACGGAAACTGTTATAGGCAATACATCAAGTTACGTATGCACACGTGCAACGGCTCAGATGAGAGCCTACATGCGTATAATAAAGTTAATCTTACATTATCACATTATGTAAGTAAATATAATGTATACCACTCCTAAGTACTAATACCTATCTGTTATTCTGCAATTTTATTGCCTAATCTCCCTATTCAACTAAAATAAGTTAAACAACGCAAAAGACTTTTATAAAGTCTATGTTTAGACTAAACCTAAAAATGGCGAAATTATTTATATCCAATCAATATAGTAGTATGTAATATTATATTATCTGTGATAGTAGTAATCATTACAGCTTGTATACGAATTATCATAATTGAGAAGAAATTGATGAAGAGCGAGTAGTAGACTGGAAAAAATAGGTTGAAGTATGTAATATTATGTTATCTGTGGTTGAAGTAAGAAACTTTAAATCTTCAAAATTAAATAACAATTGCATCTAAATATTTGTATATTTTGATACAGTGCAATAGTAGTCTGCATTCCATTTGATTATTTATTATTAAATAAAATACCTAAATTTTATAAATTATGTTTTATGCTATGAATTCAGAACGGTTATAGATTAGAAGTGTTTTATTTGTCTGAATGTTTGTTCATTGTACCTAATGCAATCCAAATATCAAGCAACACCGCTCGACCAACAGAGGACAAAACCGAAGTCCCGAGTAAACCAAAATCTTGTCTAATTCTAATGCGATATATAAACGTACTACGAGTTCTAATTAATAAATTATAAATCGTACATTGGTCATTGATTATAGGAAAGTAGATTATTGCTTAATAAAATATGCAGGAACTTTTTAATTACGTACTAATCGTAAAGGTCAATCATTATTGGTTATCGCTAATTATTAAGTAATAACATATGTCCATAGTACCTTTAATTAACTTAATTACCAGTGGTGATACACTGGGGGAGTGAAGGGGGCAGCCCGCTCTAGATAGTTTTTTTTGTGGGCGGCAAGATTAATATTTAATGAATAATAATGTTATTTTTTAACCTAAGTTATCAGTTTATGTAGGTCAATCATTATTACTTAATATGATGTAATGATTCAATATCCTGGTCTTGATTACATTAATTATGAATGGCGTAGCTTTACGGCATCGGTAAGGGCAGCGCTTTTAAAATATTAAATTATTAAATATTTTAAAATAAAAATTAATTAATTTTTGATTGATATTAGACAATCTAGATAAATATTCGGCATTTATTCATCTTTATTCTCAAAAAGCTACTCGCTCCGGCTTCGCACAGGTGTACATGTATTATATATAGAAACAGCGCTTTGTTTTACGCTTATGTAATTATTGCTAAGTTAAGAGCCCAATAGAATAGATATATTTTGTGGGCGGCAAAAATGACTGAATTTATATTATTCATTACTTGAATTGGCACCTGTTTCAATTAATGAATTATAAAATTCCTAAATTTTGTTACTAGTAACTATTTTATTTTCTATCATAAAGTTGATAGTAAAAAAAAGTTGATGGTGAATTAGTCGTTACAACTCTGCAATTTAAATTATTACAATATATATGCTTCCAAATTTCTTCGACGATTATTCATTAACAGTTTGTTGGAATGGTATTGTTATAAAATGAATTAAAGGATTCTGTATTCTGTGCTCTGTATAGATCAGAGCATTTTGGATTTATACAACTGACTCATTAGTCAGTTCTATAAATCTAAAATACTTTGATCTATTTTGTATTTTATCAATTTCTCTGGTGGTTCAAACCTACGGTACGTGCCTACTGGAGATTATGTCTTTAAATATTTATAATATTGTGAATCCATTCAATGGAATCAATACATTCAAAGAAGAGTGTGGCTGTTCACACGATTGCAAAATGCAAATGCAAAGGGTTGGTAGCCATGACCGAGCACTGGTTCACTAACTACCCAGTACGAGTATAATTAATAGAGTTATTACTTTGATGGAAATATTCAATAATAGTCCTATTATGGATAACAATGACAGCTTTATTTCTGTTCTAACCTTTTGTTTGTAATTACACTCTATTGCAATTCTTCATAGAGTTGATTTTTAGAATTTATGAAGCCAATTTAATTTATTCATTTGCCCAATTGAGATATATGCAATTTCATCTATGATTAATTAACATGAACATATATTTCACTACTACTCAACGGATCTTACAGATAAGTTATTATGAAGATAAATGGGACGCTAAAGTGGATGATTAAAAATCATTTTTAAAAAATAATTATATTTAAAAACTATATTTAAAAGTTAAACTAAAAAACTAATTACAATTAAAGGGCGATATTTTTTTAATCTCTTCAGTTTATATAATTATTAGATGAGTTATATAAGTAGATGGTCTTTAATGTTATAATTATATTCCGAATTTGAGCTAGTAGCGATATTTCCATTTAGATCATAAATCGTTTCCGATATATTGAAAGAGGCTGTTGGTGTAAAAATGGTCTCTGTATGGTTACAAGGCAATGTATTCAGACGGAGTGTGTACTAGGTAATCCGTCCAAATTGTCGAACGCACTGCAAGGGTATTCTAGATACATACAATAATAAAATTGTGCAAACATTTTTGTTTAATAATAATGTATGAAACGTCCCGTTAATTTTAACTTTTTTAATTCAATATAAATTTGCTCGCTATGAAATTTTTAACGGAATGGTTTTGTTTTTAATTAAATATTTCATTTAATATTGATATGCTTTTCTCAATACAAAAGCAATATACATAGCTGAGTATCTATTTTGTAATTACATTAATTTTAGAAATAAGACCTTTGAGATTACTTTGTAAATTTTACCTTGTTTTGCAAACTGTTATAGTTCTAAAGGATGGAATAATAATGGGATTATTGCGTACAAAAGTACATAATTAGGAAAGTGACTTGCATAAAAAACCAATTCTTAATAGGTTGTTTTACAATCAAAGCAAGATCAACTAAAAAAAGGGATTTTTATAAAGAGTAAGTAATCGATATTTAAAGCTAATGATTTATAACTATGTATTTACCTACGGGAATTTAATTAATTTAATGTTTTCGTCGTCCGGGACAATCGTTTCGACTTCATTAGGGTTAGCTAGTTGTGTACATAACTTGTAGTCCTGAACTAATCTGGTGAATAAAAACAAGGAGAGATTGAGAGAGGAGAGAGAGATAATATCAGAAAATGATAAAATTCAGATATAAGTGACCTATTAAACAATGGTAAAGTAGATAATAGTTTCCCTGTTTTAATTGTTTCTCTAGATTGCTATAACATTATTTTTTATAACTTTATAATTTAAAATTAATAGGTAATATTCGATTAGATCGATCATTATTAAAATGATATTTTTTTATAATAATAATTATAACAACACCTAGGATAACAGATACATCACCATCTGATCCAAAGTGAAGTAAAGCTTGTGTTATGGTACTAAATGATAGATATATTTAATTATTATTATTTTTAATAAATAAAATCTGACCGATATAAACAACTCATGAATGTAAATGTGCCAGATATCGAACCTGTTACTATCAAAATTAAAGCGGTGTGCTATATCATTATACCACCTAACCGTCGGTAAACCTAACTATATCGCTATTTAGCATTTCTTTAATAATTAACGAATACAAAAAAATAAATTGGTAGTTTCCGAATTATCAGTTATATTATTCCTTTAATCAAGAATGAAATTTTTGTAAATTATTAATATTGTTTCATAATATTTAAGATATAGTACGATTCTAGAAAGTCAATACATACGTGTCTGCGGTAGTGTTTCGTTAACGAAGACGGTTAGTAGAATAGTTGTCTACTATTGCAATGCCTTAATCTATGGGCGGAGTAAGTACAGGCGGAAGCAGAAGCAATTCATTATTGTACTCGAGTATTTTTATTTTTATCAGTATTATTTTTTATTATTTTTTATTGTTATATACAGCTTTATAAATATTATAAAATCATTTAAATTATTTATAATAATATAATTTTATCTTTATTAATGTTGCTCTATTAGCGACTATTTTATTTATTATTTATGCTTCTTTGTAGCAGTCGGGAGATGGAAGGTAATGAGCTAGTTGTAGCTATTTACATATGTATAATATATTTTTTTAATTATTAATGTATGAGAGATCTTTATATAAGAAGTGTATTTAGAAAAGGGGATGCGATCCAGAGAGATATCTTTCCACTAAAATCTTTAATTATTAAAAACAACAATATTGCTAACATTAATACTAGGTTTAAATAAAAACTTGCTATTCCTAAGTATCGCCTAGAAAAAGTCAATGGATCTTTTTTGAGAATGGGTATAAAAAATTACTTGGTTGGAAGAAGCATTCCTGGTGGTCACGACTTGTCCAGCCTTGAGGAATCGATAAAGAAGAAAGATAAAAATTTACAATAATATACCAAAGGATATACTGTAATAACCTATAAATAAATTCAAAACATCTGTTAAATCATATTTTCTGAGTAAAGCTTATTCCTAGTCTGTATTCAATAAACGATTACTTGAATGAAGAGCGGCTATAGCAATAGTTGTTTATGCACTGGATTTTCATTTAGTGTTAGACATAGCCAACTGTATAAGTAAACAAGTAAAACAATCGCTTATTTTTAAACAAACAAATAATTTAGGTGAGTTTCTTGCCAGTTCTACTGAAATTGAATCTGTATACCGAATTGGACTGTAGGGGAAAAATTATACTACAAAAATATTTATGTTCATAAGCGGCTAAAATCTTCTATTTGAATAACTGATTTTTGATTTGATAAGGTTGTTATTTTTAAAGAACAAATGCCGGTGTAAGTTACTCTGTATTATAGCCACTTATGTAAATCAAATACTACGTCTAAATCAAATAGAAAAAAAATTAAGGAAGTAATAGTGTTCTATTCTTATAATTTTACTTTAAATAAACTATAGATATATATGAAATGCAATGTATACTTTACCCACATAGCTTGCCATTATTCAGTAGCTAATAAAAAACTTAAACATGTGAAATTAGTCTAAATGAAAAGGAAACTTGTTATTCTATTGAAATGTATGACTGTACCAGACCCGCCTTACTCTATGATCATACCACGTATATACCACTCATACGTCATAGTGATCGGAAAGGGAATTAATATAGACCGTTTCTTGTAATAATGATTTTTTTAATAAGCAATAATAACACACTGATTCTCAATAGTAAACTTCTTTAATATAGGTAAATATTAATTTGCGATAACCTTGCAGCTTTTCTAATCAGACGACGTCAAAGAAAAATATCTTTAGTCTCAATTTAACTTCGTTTTAAATAAGTTTTATATAAAACTAGCTGTGCCCGCGACTTCGTCAGTGAGTTATGGTGATCAAATAAAAAAATTATAATAATCTAACCCAAAGAAAAAAGTTTCATCGTTCCAGCTTTGACGAATTTTCATGCAAATTTTGATCCGCTTTTTTATTTTACCCCTTAAGGGTAACATTTCTACAAACTTTGAATGTCATCTTAATTTGTATTAAATCAATAGGCTAAAAATAAGTTTCAAGCTTCGAGCTTTAAAAATTACGATATTTCCATACAAAGTTTCACCTCCCCTTCTAACCTTTTCTTCGCATTAAAAAGTAGCGTATACCTTTCCCTCCCTCTCTCAGGGTCTAGACTATCTGTGTACATCTGTGTAAATTTAATTTTAATTGATTTAGTAGTTTTTGCGTGAAAGGGAAACAGACAGACAAAGTAACTTTCGTATTTATAATATTAGTAAGGACTGGTAAGGATAAGGATTATACAAAAAAAATTGGCGGCCTATCTGATGGAAAGGAAGAGATGACTGTACATCTCCTATACACAGAGTAATAGAGATAGAGTAATGTGTTACTTTTTTCTGAGGAATAAATTATTATACCCGAGTATGTCATCATATCATCCTAAACAACGCAACATAGCTTGTGAAGAAAGCTGTTTAGCAGCTTAGGATTGAAATAAGTGGAAAAGATCTGTTACTTATGGCTTTACCACACTTTTTTATAATCGATTCAGTATTCTTTGAGTTTTCAAAAAAAAAATCTAACTAATTGCCTACATAATAATAAGAAATTATTTACCAAATGATATTGACATGATTTATTTCGACACCCCCTAATAATCAGTCATGAATACTAAATCTTTCAGCTTTCAAACTACATACATTACTTCTAGTAAATTAAAGGGGTTGTTTATGAAAGTTACTTTTAGAGGTTATTTAGCTGATGTGTCTATTCTAAAAGATATATCTATTTGTTAAATTCCTTTAATAATATACCTAACTTAAAGCAATTTGTAGTAGGTACATTACTTATATTATATCTACATTCCCTCTGACTTATTACTAATCAACCATTGGCTGTCTCTGAGTAGGATATTTTTAAAATCTGCAGTAAGAAATTACTTAAGTAACCTTTAGCCGTTTCTGTGTGCGGCACTCAGAATTTGGTTTCTGTTTCTTGTTAATATTTTCAAAGTAATATTTTAATGATGTACAAGGAAATAAACGACTACGATTAACAAGAAACGAGACGAGCCACTTGATATGGACGACAACTTGATTAAATTGGCGACTTAATAGTAGCCAATTTAATAAAAAATAAACATTATTACCAACCTCAAGTTATCATTTGACACCTATAATACCAGTCATACTTTGCCATACCTGACTTCCAGAGGACTAAAATGTCATGATTCTTATCCTGTAATTTCACTGCTTTGTCTCTCCCTTCAACTGAAAAACATTTTTGTTAAACAACCAAAACTTGTGAACAACCAAGTTGGTGGCTGAAACAGGTACCCATGCAAAGACAATGGACAAAGTTTATTTCCGTTGTTATTGTATTTAATACTTACTAAATACTGGACTAAGGTTGAGTATTATTTTATTTATTTCAGGCTCCTAATGGCCCCATATTACAAATACCTTATAGACTAACATACATTTGAAACAATAATATTAAAATTCTGTAACGCCGATATAAAAGCCCCTTGGGGCAGTAGTCCTCCTTCATCAAGGTTGGCAGCACGTTAGTGAGTTCCCACCTAGTAAAACTTTGGAAACGTGGTATCACGGGCATGACATGATAATGTAATGTTCATGGAGCTGGTTGCGTAGATTGACGATGGTTGGCACTTAGCATCACTTGCCATCATCATATTTATATAAAAAAATCCGTGACAGATATGAATAAATTTGAAAGGCGAGTTTGGTTTTTAACATTTGATATTTTATTGTAGCAGAACACAAAATATAGACATAGCAAAAAATAATTACACAAAAGTAGGCTATATTCGAACAGAGATAGGGGTTCAAAATATTTACTTCTTTAGACATATATGATATTTTTATGGTAATTAAGACAAATAAGTAATATAAAATATAATACTATTACTACAGGTTCTATTACTCATACTACTAATAAGAATTATTCTCTACACATTTATAATTAAATTGTTATAATATAAAGTAAATAGTAGACATTAAATTAATTGTAACAGATGGTCATTAAAAAGTAAATTACACCACTAATTTAAATTTCTATAATTAATACAATTAATAAAATATATATTTCCCTCATTTATGACCTCATTTCAATGTAAAGTGATTTATCTTGTGATCTACAGCCATGAATATATTCTCCACTGAACAAGGCGTTTCTGAAAATAAAAAAGTTACGCTAAAAATAAGAAAGTATTTTGTAATCGTACAATAATAATAGATTATTACTATTATTATTCGTTCTGGGTAATTTACACAACGCTATCTATTCCCTAGCAAAGCAGAACTTGTATTATGGGCTCTAGACAACTGATAGGTATAGTTAAAAATATATATATTTTGTAAATACATAATTAATATACATATAAAACACCCAGACCTGCAAAGACCAGAATCTGCAAACATCAGCAGTAAAGCGTAGTATAATATTTACCTACTAGTATTTTTACGTGCAAATAATATATATAATTTTGTTTGAATAACGAAAGTGACACAGGATTATTTGTTACAGAATTCGGGACATTATATTTTCTGTGTTAAATTTTAGCTGTCACTTTGTATAATATTACAAATATATTGTCTTGTATAAAACACAATTTTTATCACGTGCAAATAATTAAAAAGATATCTATTCATTTCTATCTTTTTTATTAAATAAGATAGAATAAATAGAAAGATTTTAAGGCGCCAAGACGTAACATACAAATAAACTAAGAATCACAATTTTAATGCTAATAAACGAGTATGTTTAATTGTCACGTTTAAACGGCTGAACGGGTATTAATGTAATTTGGTGTGTAGATAGTATTTATTCCAAAAGTATAGACAATCTTTTATGTAAAACAAATCATTGGAAACAGCTAGCAGATTCTTGTAATATAGGCAAGAAAACAAATTGAATTAAGTAGTAACAGTAATTATGGTTTAATATTATATATTTCAGATATTAATACTCATCTGTAGAGCCTTACCTATATCCACCCATTGATCGTCATAGCCAGCTTCCAGCCGAGCTTCTCTAACGGCCTCTCGAAATGCGTGAACTATAACGACTGCTAAACAGAATGACGGTTCACCGGTAGCTGAAATTAATAATAAAAAATGGTACTTAAATACATTTAATTTTGCAAGTACATATGTATAATATGTATATACATAAAACATCCAGGGTAATCAACGATAAATAATCGAAGTTCTGAAAACAAATATATGAATCGTGCAAGGAATTGAACCAGCGACCATCGCAAGTAAGACCGACTACTAAGCCGTTAGGCTACCAAGTCGTCAATTGCCAAAATTGTCGCCATTCATACTAATATTATAAAAGTGAAAGCATGTCTGTTTGATCCCTTTTCATGAATAAATACTGAATTAATATTGCCTAGTTTAAAAGAGATGCTTCTATGTTATCGATATAAATCATAACCAACCTATGAGTAATAGCCCAGAGGCTTACAAAATATATCCTGCCAAGGTAATACAAGCTCGACGTACCAATTTCATAGACTTTATTTATTACCTTTTGACTGTAATACGCCAAATTCGTTTTTAGCATTTCTTCTAAAATAAACTCTGAAGTCAGCAGGTATATCTTTAATTCCAGGAGGTTTGTATGTCCATGTCCGATCAGTTAATATTCTCCCAGTATTGGGGTCGGTAACAATTTTCTCAGATGTCCAGTACCCAAGTCCCATAATAAATGCTCCTTCAATCTGTAATTTAATAAAACAAGATAAAGAAAGCTTGGCTGGCTACTTTAGTAGTATCGGCTTTGCATAGAAGACGATCTAAATTAGAGCTAAATTTGGAGAAACTTAGCAAAGATTTATCCTAACGTACGAGTGCCTACATATTAATAAATAACGTTTAAGATTATTACTGTTAACATAAAGACATTTTTATTAATTAATTAAAACAAGATATTTAAATATTATATTTAATTTATGCAGTAAATATAAATGACCAAATGTGTTTTATTATAATAATTACCTGACCAACATCGATTTGAGGACTTAAACTTCTTCCAGTATCTTCGAGTAAGTCAGCCCTTAGAACATCGTGGTTTCCAGTTAATATATCAACTTCTACCTCTAAGGCAATCACGCCATATATATCGTATGGTTTTACACCACTAGAAGTTGTATACAAATAAGATGCTTGTAAATCAACATCAGAATTGTGTGCTTCTCTAATAAGCTCTTCCCACGTATACTTTCCTAATTTCTGTTTGATCGGCTCTAGCCTTTGTAATAATATTTCACACGCTTTCATTGTTGCATAAGCTACGCATTCGCTACCAATGCTAGCCCCAGTTGATGTACAATTTGGAGATGTAACGCTGGACGATGGCTTCACACTAATTTTCTCTAAAGCTGCTCCAAGTACATAAGCACAAACTTGAGCTACTTTTGTGTTTATACCTTGACCTATTTCTGTGCCTCCATGAGTTATTACAATCGAACCATCTGCATGATATATTGATATCAAAGAATTAAACGGTCCAAGGTAGAACAAATCATAAGTCATTGGGATTAACTTCATAGCACGTTTTCTCCATCTATTATTATCGTTGAATTCTTTTATTTCTTTCAATCTGTTATCGTAATCCGCATCTTTCTTTAATTGTTCTATTAATCCTGGTATGGGGTTGTCTTCTTGCGCCATATTTAACATTCTAACTTCCAGTGGGTCTTTTTTAAGGTTAAAAGCTATTCTTTCCATTATATATTCTATCATTGCAACTCCTTCAGTAGATGCTATATATAACAAAAGATTTTATTAATTAAGTATAATTATTAGGTATTTATATATATATAGAGTATATATACCTGGTGCCCTACACCATGTATTTGATGGTGTGTCTGTAGCGACACTATTAGCTTCAATGTACCATCGACGAGTATCATAGCAATTCAGAAAGTGATTCAAGGTTACAGAAGCTGTGGTCTCATTGGAAGAACAACCATTGTTTTGGTAAAATGTGTTCTTAAGATATTGTATTACACCTTCTTTATTTACTCCAACCTAAAAACATTATACATGTATCCAATGAAAATACTAGTTAAATATGGTAGACATGCCAATAGTATCTTAGATGTTATTTCCATTTAAAGTTAAAAAATAAATATAGTTTATGTATTGTTATCTGTTTTGATTTATTTATAAATTATATTTAGAATAAAGCTACTATAACAAACACTAAAAGCTATAAAGCTGTGTTGTGAACGATTAAAATATAAATTTATCCAACTGCTTTAATAAAAAGGAAAGTACAATTTATATTTTAAAATAAATAAAAATCATTCAACTTTAATACTAAAGTTATTTGTATTTAGTAAATACGACTATTGAAAATTAAAGATAGCGTCAGCAAAGTAATAAGCATAATCAAATATATGATAGCATACAATATTAACAGTTAATGATTGTAAAGTTACCTCAAAGTTATTGCTGGTTGGTAATCGTTTACCACATATCTTTACATTTAATTCCAAGGGCAAGATAAATCGGCAAGTTTTGCCTTGTAGATGAGATGCTAAAGCTGCAGCGCAAGCAATTTGACTTGCGCGAGATATCTTGGCACCATAACCTCCACCAACGCGACGTACAATAACATTAATGCTGTAATTAAATTTTGTTTAATTAATAAATATCGTAAAAAACGGACTAAATAAAAAAAATGGCGACAACAATTATAAGTACTATATATAAGGTACTTAGGAAAAATGACAAAATATTACCTATTTGCATTAACTTTCAAACATCGAGCTATTGCAACATTGACAATGTCAAGCCATTGTGTCGACGAGTACACCTCCATGCCGTCTTCTGTTGGTTTTGCAACACAAGTCTGTGGTTCCATAGTATAATGGAACTGACTTCCTAACATCAAATTTCCGTAAATTACACATTTTACATCATTTCCATTATCCGTTGGTTCCACAGTTCTATTATTTTTTACTCTCATATCTTTTTGTGGCGAATTCAAAACATCTTCTATTGTTAGTAATGGTTTGTCTTTGCTTATATTTTCATACTTAATTTTTACAAGTAGCGCAGCTTTGTTAGCTGTTTTATCTCTATCAGCTACTATAATGCCAGCAGGTTGTCCATAAAATTTGACTTCTTTGGCACAAAGAATCTCTTCATCTTCAATTATCAGTGGAGGATATAAGGGAGGACTAAAACTGTTCTCCCCTGGAATGTCTTTAGCTGTGTAGAATGCTATTACACCAGGCATTTTCTGTGTAGAAATTATATAAAACTTGTAAAGTTATCGTTAAATCTATGTTCAATATAAAAATATAATATATATGATAAATATACATAATATATATATATATTATAAAAGGGAATTATTAGTAACATTGAATCAAAATTGATTGGTAATTACATAATTTATATACTGTTGCACTGCGGGTATACAATTTGCCACTACTTATTTATTTATTAATTATTATACTGTAAAATACTTACTAATGCTTCTGTCGCATCAAATCCTTTAATAACAGTTCCAGGTTTAACATCAGCAGTAACAAAGGCAGCAAACACTTCATCAGTTTCTGTCGGTAGATCATTAGCAAAGGTTGCTTCTCCTGAGCATTGTGCCATTGATTCTAACTTAGGCACAGGTTGATTTAATGGCCATACAGATTTATCTGTATCAAAAATCTCTACTCCTTTTGAAGTGTTGCGTTTGATGGCTTCACCCCCAGAACGATATTTGGGGTTCAGTTTATTATCGGGACATGTACTTAAGATTCCCTAAAAGTAATTTATGCTTATACAATAAAAAATTTAAAAAATAAATAAGATCCTTAAACATACGTATACATACTGTAATAATATACTAAAACAAGTGACTAATTACTTTGTCACTGTAATTAGTCGCTTGCATGTTGCCATCTAATGTGAATGGATTAGAAATGTGAAATGGTCTTCTTGGATTTCAATAATTAAAACTCAAATTCCGAAATAATAATTAATAATAAATTTTAATTAATTAATAATAATAAATTAATTTAAAATATATAAGTATATGCGCGATAAGCTTTTAAAACCACCACAAAAGCGAAACAGTATTTAATAATTGTGCTTGTTATTTGTAGAGATTTCCTTTATATAATGATTGACACATTAAAAGCAAAAAATTAACAGCATAACATAACCTACATTAAAACTATTATGCAATGGATATTTAATATCAATTAAAATACCTAGTTAATGATGGTGTAATCTTATATTAGTATGTAAAGTCATATAATATATCAACATTTTGAGTCACAATTTTTGTTACAGAACTACACCGAAACGGCTTTCCTGATTTTTATGAAAATTTGTTAGGTCTAAAAATAGGTTGTAGCTAATTTTTTATACCCCTAGGTGGTAAATGTGGTATTAACCAGAAATAATTTATATTTTAAAATCTCTGCCGGTGTGATTATTTACCTTATAATATAAAGCCAAAGCTAACATTTTTCTGTACGCAGCCGATGGCTCAGGGGGTGCTTCTTCAGGATGTATCTCTTCGCTTAATGATTTGAGTACCAGTTGTAGTGTTTCATCCGTATATGGATCTTTGTTTGTTAATAGGTTTTCTGTTTTGGTTGCGTGTATAAATTTTTCTGAAATGCTACCATAGACAATTGTGGCTTTGTCCAGAATAGTTGAACCTTTTTTAAATTTGAATAAAAACCCAGCATTGACTACAGCATGTGCATTTTGGGATCGAGGCATTATCTGAAATATTAAAATATTATCACAATACCCTATAAGAACTTTGTATAAACTCAAACATATGAAAGCGCATTAGCACATGATCACAAAATTAATTAGTAAGTTATGAAAATATAAGTGTTGTAATTAAGTAAGGGATAAGGGATTCTATAAGGTTTTTTTTTATAATATCCTACGAGTAAATTAAGCTTCAAGTTCGTTTTTAATATACTTTGTTAAAACGAGACATACGTCATCACGAAAACAGCTCTGAGGACATTACATATATGACGACGCTAATGCATTTCACTTTTTTCCTAGAAAGAATTAATTTAATAAAAGGCGCCGGCCAATGCTCGGCGGGCTAGTTACTAATCCATAATATAATATAATATACCCTAAAGAAATATGTAACATATACGAGTGGATATCAAATACTTGTTACTGCATGCGATTTATCGGCTTGGATTATACGAGTATGTATTTGTAGGTAAAAATAATACAAAATGGAATTAATACTGTATTGTTATTAAAAGTATATTGAACAATTCTGTACCTTATAAGTTTTAACTTTACAATAACTGGATAATGGCGGCAGTTCTATATTTACAATGATATGTCTCTTCATGTTTATTTTCAGGAAATCAGGAAAAGTAATTTTTTTAGAGTTATTAACGTTGTCAGCTGAAATATAAGAAACAATATACAAATAACATGACGTAGTCCCAAACTAAACAGAGCTTGTACTAGAGTCGTAAACGACTGATTAACCTACTTGAATCTATGTATTTTATGCGAACACATAAATAACTGCAATAAACTTACGATACGTAATAAACTTAGATAAGTATTTATAAAAACCAAAATACCAATTGAATTAAACAAGTATACAACTTACCGACTGTTATTATTCCCCCAACTGTTTCAAAAAGCAAAAACAAATCCGATTGAAAATCATTATTTTCATATTTCATATATAAATTCCCTCCAATTGTACCTATCTACAATTAAGAAGAAAATATTATAAAATTAGACATACTTCGAATATAATCTTAAAACAAATTATAATAATATCAATCAAAATATGTTTTATTTTATTGTTTACGTTTAATATTGATGAAAATTCTATTTCGTTTTATAATAATAATTTTCAGAGGAGCAACTTTCCTGCCCTCTCTGGACACTATCAGGATCTCGGAATTGTAAAGCGACAATGTAAAGTTTCAGGTTTGTATAAATGCGGCGATTTCCATCCAATGGATCAGCGTCTTTGCCATTTTAGTTAGGTATACGTCACACAATAATAAAAGTTCTTACATTTCTAACAGGAATATGTGCAACCAGATCCATATGTTCATGAAACTGTTTTAAATATGCAAAATCTTCATTTTCGGCGGATATTTTAAGAAAGAGTTCCATCATTTCCGACAAAGGTACTCCGGCGCCTATTATCAAGTTTTGATCAATCGTATAGCCCTTCAATTCGGCTACGTTGAATATGTCTATGACATTGCGAGGATATTCAGTAACGTGGAAAACTCCTGTAAATATATAAAACTTACATAATATGATAAAAAAAATTAAGACTCGTGTATTAACTTTGTCAGTATGAATATTAAAAGAGGATATTACAAAGGCATGATATGATAGTCATCAGGACGATAGTAAATACGAAGAAAGACGATAACCGTGATCATAAGAATAAAATCGTAAAATAAAATATAGATTCGCGGATTCTGAATAATAAACTAATTTTTCTTACAAACACCTACTTTAAAAATAACATATGTCCGTTCTCGTTGTACAATCTATATGATAGATTGTACAACGTTCTTCTTCTTCTAGGCTTACTTGAACTTACTACCGCTTACGTGAAACTATTACATTTTATATAGTAAGTTAACAACCATCTGCATTCCGAATGAGTGGTAGAATCAAAATATGACTATTCAAAAGTGCTTGTAATGAGTTTATTTGAATAAAGATTATTTCTATTTCTATTTCTATTTCTATAAAACTCGATTTAAAAAATATTCCCCCCAGTTGGTATAAAAATAATATGGCTGGGCAGAAATGTTACAAGACTGTTTAAAATGATGTCTATTATATAAAATAATAATAAAAAAATACGTATAATTAATGATTGTGTTTATTTATCTACCGTAACATCGTTATGATGTAACAACTATACAGCCCCAATTGGGGGGTAAGATGTTACAATCGACTTGTTTAGTTAAATTTCCCATCGTGAAAAAATTACATACATTTTAATAATTTTTCAGTCATATTTTAATAGCTAAATAGACATACTAACTTTGCAAGTAATCCAATGTATAATTTGTTTCATAGCTTTTGTCATATTAACATTTATCTAAAAATTGTAACAATGTGCATCCCCTACATACTTATATGTCGTTATATAATATTGCTGAAATAATATGTTGATACCTAAATTTTTACACTAATCACTTTCTTTTGAAACAAGTATAAAAACCAGTACCGTATTTATTTAAGGAAGTTAGTACCTATATTAATTTACTGATAAGCATTTTAACTAATTAATTAGACATGAAAATTTGTAAAGACTTGTTAGTTAATTATTCGTACACAGTACAAAGGATTACAACGGAATTTCTGTATTGTATCGTAAATTAATTGAGCGGAGCACGAAGCGCCGAGTGATCTTTGAGATGTGATTTGCACTCTTTGTGACGATACGCCTCCAAAACGGCTTGACAGATCGATAACAAAATTTCATCGAATATTGAACTTCGGACCACCATCGTTTACACTAAAAAAAATCCGATTGGTCAAGGTCGTGATTTTAATTTTTATAATTTTTATCGCACTCCGCTCAACATTTGTCAATCCGTCTTAATTTGATTGGATTTTATTTAATTTGGTTAAAAAAAATCAATTCAACGTATGACAACGTTTTTTAATATGTATTTTATTTTCTGAATTAGCCAATTATGTGCATTGATTTTGACTTGACGCGCTTACATAAATTCGGAAATTGATTAGATATTCGATTACCACATGTACTAACCTTGTCCTGTATTTCCAGCTATTAATTTATAATCATCTAATGACATAACTTTGAATACATCCTGCAAGTTATATGTTTTGTACCATTTGTGTGTCCCGCAATCGACAACAATCATTTTAGTGCTACCTTTTTCAAGAATACACCATTCGTCATCTTTATTTGAGGAGAAAGAATGTCCTTTATTTTTATGTGGACACTGTTGTTTGCAATGAACGCCACATGACTTCAAATTTGACAAATCTTCTAAATCAATAATTTTAGCCTTAAGACTTTCGTCGACGTCTGTCGCGAAACTTTTGAAAGCATCAGCTATAGGCCTGTATCCTGTACATCTACACATGTTACTTGCGAATGAGTTCTCAATTTCTGTCATATTTAGTTTCTTATTTTTGCTCTCGTAGACGCTGTGAATAAAAATGACTTTAAATGCATAGGCAGTACCGATTTTTATTTTCGCCTACCCTCTAATGGATTGAAGCTGAAAATCAATGTTTTGTTCTATGAACTATTTTGGGCACACATACACTGGGCCATTTTGTAGTACCTACTGCTGATTACACATAATGACACAAACTTGTCTAGTATGTTCATGTTATGGCGCACTATATATTGCCCATATTTATAAAAGTGTAATTGTGCGTAGTAGTGTAAATTATTTAGTAGTCAATTAGAACTAAAATTATAACTAACTTATCGAGGTAAACTTTGTCCCAAGGCGTCAAGAATACCTTTCTCTCGTCCATTTCTGCTACGAATCAAAGCTTTGTAAGCTGTTTCTTTTAAAAACAAGTTATATAGACAATTACCTTAGTTCACAGGAAGGGTCTAAGGTACTACACGTTCTATGGGCAACGATTACCTGCTATTTTCCACAAGTAGGCAGTCAGTTTATTTGCATTTCTAATGACATAAATAAATATAAAACTTATCTTTATTACCTATACATATTCATAACCCATCCAGGAGTACAATATCCGCATTGGGTTCCATGAAAATTAGCCAACCTACTTTGTATTTCATGGTATCCTATAGTCCGATTCCCGATCCCTTCAACTGTAATCACATCCCAACCATGGCATGACAGTACTGACACTAAACACTGAAATGAGTTAATAACAATAATTTTATTAATTATAATTATTGCTGAACACTTTGTTTTTACTATTTTTTAACATTTTATTTACACACTCATATTGAAAATATTAATATTTTAGAAATTACTGTTATGGCAAAGTACTTTATTTATTGTTCACGTATTTATTAGACGTAAACACCAATAGAAATATATCCGGATATTTTGTTAAAAAAAATGGATTATTAGGAATTTTTTAGTAAATAACAGTTTACTTTCAGCTTAAAATAATAACTACTATCTATATGTCGTTCAAAAATCAAGGAATGAACTATATTCACTAGTAACTAGGTCCAGGTACAGACAAGTGATTGTAATTTTATAAATCCATTCTCCCTCCTTATAATATTAATGTAGAAGTGTATTTGTTATAATAAGCATACATATTGCTTGACGCCCTAGGTGGCGTTGCGGTTTAGCACACCGTTGCTTCCGATGGTCGCGGGTTCGTTTCCTCGCGCGGTGCAGACATTTTTATTCATGAATATCATTGTATGTATCGGTCTGAGTGTATTTTATATATATTATGTGTGTATTTACAAAAAAAAACTAAGTATTTATATCAGTTGTCTAGTAAGTACCCTTAACACAAGCTCTGTTTACCTTGCGATTAAATGGCGCTGTGTTAATTGTCCGGGGTTACTATTATTAGTTAAATTGTTCATATTAAATTATATTTTACTTACAGAATTGACAGAGAAGAGTTTCAATTCGTTGGTTGGTGGTAACGAAGCACATACAGCGACCACGCAAGCGCCGCAACCACCCTCATGACACATTGCCTTGGTGCCTTTCAGATCAGCCACATTTCTTATATACTCGTTCAGTGACACATCTGGACCATACTTGCCATCAACTATAGAAAAAAAATCATAAATTTTAACAGTCTTTTATTTATTAAAACATTAAAAATAAAACTAGCTTAAGTTAGCTCTTAAATATTAGCTACCTGTGAGTGAAAGTCGTAATTGGTTTATCCATTTTATCGTTAGTTACATCGTTTCAGAGTTTAACAAAAATAAAGAGATAAACTAAAATAAAAATATATTTTTGTCGTATTTGTACCCTTATAGGTACTTTCATGCATTTAGTAAAAATCTATTATTGTTAATTTAAATTACAAATAGACACTTATATTTTATTTATTGCATACATTTGTGCTCACTGTTTCAAAAGTCCTTCCATATCCAGTGAAATAACAGGCTATGGAGACATAACAATTTCAGTCTCAGGAATAGCAACGTAGAACATCTGTCCTCAACCGTAGCCGTCAGTTACTCTAGCCGCATAAGATATCCATGTCTCATAAAAACTGAAAAAAATCTTAAGAGATAAAGAAATCTGACCTTCGTATCGTTTCCCATTAATTTTGAAGATTATCTTCGCCATTTTATTATCGCAGTATTCCCTGAAAAGTGACAAAAAATATTTTTTTAAAGATTTCTAACTTAACGTGCACAACTCCCCATTCGCGGGCTGCTGATATATCGTCTTTTTTGCACGGGTCACTGTTCATAAGCCGCCATCTTATGCTTCACTACTATTAACAGGTAAGTTATATAGGTATATTATATATTTTACTAGCTGTACCCGCGACTTCGTCCGAGTGGAATTTAACTTTATTTTTCTAAAATAAAAGTAGCCTAAGTTACTCCTTATTACATCAGCTACCTGCCAATAAAAGTCCCGTCAAAATCGGTCCAGACATTATTATAGATTATTAGACATAATTATAGGTTATTATAGTTTGGTCCCGCAAACTGACAGACAGACAGACAAAAATTGTAAAAAATGTTATTTTGGTGTATGAATCGTATTTATACTCATATTCATGTAGTAAAAAACGGTTATTTCAATATTACAGACATTTCAATTTGTTTCATATTTAATATGTATCATAAGGATTATAATCTGAGATGATGCACTCAGAGGCGTTATAAATCTTGATGTTGTGGTAAGCATATTCACTAGCATATTTGAATCCAAAAATGCAAAAGAACTAGTCTGTTACCCTCTTCAGAATTAATCTGGTCTGTTAACGATATTTTTCAAAATTAGATTCACCGGTGATTCGAAAATTAAAATTTTCCTAGAAACAACAATTTTTTGAAGTCAAGCAGATTTGATCTCGTCATATTTGAAGTCGGGATAGTTTTTCACAAGGGCGTGACGTTAAATATTCCGAGAAATTTTCATGGTAGACTAATATTTATATCTAAATAAGTTGAAATTTTATCACTTTATACCGGATTTATTTATAGTCTATAAGTAAAAATAAATATCACTAATGTTAATAAATTTATTAATTACTTACATTTTGCCTACACTTTTTTATTTAATCTAGTGCAACATATTGCTTATTGAATTTTGGATAGCCAAAAAATGGCCAGTACTTAACTCGAATTTCTACATTTATATTGCCGTACAAACGGTACTAACTGATAAAACTGTAATTTACTTAATTGTACTAAAATAATAACCCTAGAGTCACAATGAGCGTAGCGTAACTAAAAGGCCAATTGCCTAAAATATAATGACGAGGAAATTGGGTGCTTTGTTAATGTGTCGAAATATTGTCAGCAAATATTGAATAACGACTCGTCATTGAAATTACCATTATAAGCAAGGAAAGAATGGTATTTTTATCATTTTCTATTAGAACATTTACAGTTAACCACATACAGCAAAAAAACCAAATACGCACTAAATATAATATTATACAAAATATATTCATTCATATGATTTTTAATAATACTTATTACTTATACGTCAATAATATTTTTTTTCTGTTTTATTTGCATTGCCCCATATTGCATTATATTATTTTACATTCCAATCTTCTGACAGTTTTGCAAAAAGTTCATTATTATGGAGTCATACATAGAGAAAGAAATATTGAATATAATTTCTTTCTAGTCTATTTTTAATGTTACAATATATTTTAAAACTTTAGAATTATATTAATAATTCTCATACTACATAAATAATGTATCAACTTTTCATCTCATGTACGTTATATTCCAGTTCAATGTATGTTAGTAGATTATAATGTCAATATTCCATAAAATGAAATCCAGAATAAGTAATATTTATTTAGTATGCAGATTACAGAAGTAAAAAATACATGAGCCTTCTTACTAGAAAGACTCCAGTTTTGACAAATTTAATATCTAATCAAGGATAGGTACATACCGTTCCGATAATATATGAAATAAAACTCAAAATGGGTACTGAAATTATGGAGATTCTACATAACATAATTAATTATGCCTAAATTAATTCGATGATGAAATAAGATTCAATATTGAAACCTCCTCCTTTTGAAGTAGGTAAAAATTTTAATAATATTTACTCACATGATAAAAAAATCCAAGGAAGTACACAATTTACTTCACGATTTTTTTACACATCTTCACAACAGAATGAGCGATGATATAATGCAACACAAGAAATATTTCATGCCGTGTTATAGGCTTATAGCGTTCTCGAGTACTCTACAACGGAGTCGCTCGACATATTACGAAGATATTTGAAGATTTTTCTACAGTAGGTATAACCTAAAATTATAAAGGAAAAAGATTATTACTATGTGATGAATTAAAAAATGACGATTTCAAAAATAATCTATTAATGGAATGTTATATTATTAGCCAGTATCGAGCCATTGAGCGTACGAGTAGAGCCGCGGGAGAGAGCTAGTAATATGTAAATATGTATGCTCAAAAAAACTAAGTCTGAAAGATATTCAAATATTGTTAGACTCTGTGTTGAGGAACACAGAGTCTAACAATATTTGAATATCATAGTCATAGTTCTTCTTAAGACCTGAAAATCTTTGAAGAATTGGATTAATGAAAATAATACCTTAATTTTCTTCTACAAATCAGCATATGCCAAATAAAAAAATAACACTGAACGCATCACATATTTATTATGTGTTTCTAAACGAAGCATAGCTGATTCAATATCAATTGAATACTAAGTAATAGAAATACATCCAATTAAAATAAATAATAAATATAAATTAATGAAAAGTAATTAGTTTAATATTATTTAGGTAAAAGATGATATTATTATGCTGACTATAACGCGGCCAGTAGAAGAATACTTAATTACCTACTAGTACCTGGTAATGATTAAAGAAATTATTTAAATAAGAGAGACCAATTACTTATTAATTATTATTGTAAGTATTGTTATTATTATAAAATATATATTCATAGATTGGCAAATACAAACAGATCAATTATAAATGTGAAGGCCAGTTGTTTGCTTGAATTTAGGAGGTACCGAACCATTTAACTAATTCAAAGAATATTCTCCATTCATTAATATTGGTATAGATTCAAAAGGCTTTCTCTGCAGTTAGGAAAAATACAAGCCGTCCAATTAACGTCAGCTCAAGTGCTCAACATAAAAATACACGTATAAAAATATATTACTAGAATATTATCGTGTATTTTGAGAATTTTACCATAATAATTTATAAGCTTCATGGTGAAGTTCTGATGAGTATGATTCAAACTCATTGTCGGACACATAATTATGGACTTTCGTAGTTGGCAAACAATATTATAATTATGTATTTAACAATAAAACAACATTGAGATTTTGGTTGCATAGAAATGATTTAGATATTCAGGGTTACTGGTTAAGTCGACCTATTTCCGTTAAAGGCGTATAGTTTACATTATTTCTGACAGTTTTTATTTGTTTTAACTTGCTATTGTTAGTCTGATAAGTAAGTAGAATAATAATAAGTTAATACAAAACGTATTATTTCTCATTCACACATGCATAAATTGTAAGGTGTCTCGCTCGCACGCATTTCTTTGACTCTAATGAACAATTAGCTTGGGAAATTTAAATTTAGGACCTAAGACTCGCAACTAAGTTTTTGTTACAAATTTTTAATAAAACCCTAGATTGTTATACCTCATCGGATAGCTGATGAAACGTATATATTTTAAGCACATCAGCGGAACAGGCACCATAATATTTTTTTCAGATATCCGTATAAGTTAGGAGTCCCTTCATTAGGTACCCCTGGGCCGCGAGGTCGACAAACACCTGCCTGTCTGTAAATGGAAGCTAGATATACGAGAAAAATTATTGGGGGACTTTATCAACGTAAGAGCATCCCTGACCATGATTCTTAGAATTGTATCTGTTCATCAGTGTGTTTACAAGCGTTAATCTCGGAAACAACCTAATCGATTTGGAAGCAGTTTTCACTATTGTATTATGGCAAGTTTTACTTAATATTTAGTTTGTTTTATTCCTGTCGGTGACCAACTAAAAAAGTTATGTACGAAGTCGCGGCCTCAACTAGTATTTATGAATGGTTATGTTGATAATAATAAATGGTTGTTACATCATTTTCACGGTTGAACAATTTAGAAATATAATATAGTAGTACATCATTATATAACCATTAGTCTTTTTTGTCATTCATAAGTTTCATAACGTAGGAAGCCTTGCTTCGTTCCCATAGAAACCTTGAAATTATTCATAATTATTTTGCAGTAGAATTGTATAAAATAATGAATGAAGAAGCTTATAGAAAAGTTTTTTTGATAAAATATTATTTCCATTTGACCATCTTACTTTCAATGATCGCTGATTCCTGGTACGAAGGAAATATTAATATCAAACCAAAAATAATCCAGTAGACTCATCCCCCGCCATGTTGGATTATCTAGGGAAATGGGGCCATCAAGTTAAGTTTTGTGTTCAATACAACATTGACAGTTGACAATGTTTCTGACTATTCCATCTGGAATAACAGTCATAATCTTATGTTGGTTTTTGTTTACGAAATTTTATGAAATAACTATATACACTTATCTAGTTCTTGGCCCACATATGCCCCGATGCAGCATATAGGTGTGTATACCTGAAGGCACTTGGATATCTTAGCTTTTAGAAGAATGTCAATATCAACATACATATATTGAACCTCTAAGTTTGAAGACATTTTATCTGACTTTTTAGACTTTATATAACAGACTTCATTTTACAGTTGATATGATAGATTTGTTGTTAGTAAAAAAGGTCATTAGTACTTTCATAGTAAGTTTAAAAGATATGAATGCACGAATGAGTTAGTGAGTTGTTGTAGTGTATAAAAGACTTTATGTATTATATCAAAATGTATTTCCATATCATGCATAAACTTCCTCCTGCGTATGTTCAGTTAGTAGAATAAACTTCGTGTCGAAGTTTTTCCTAGAATCTGCAACATGTTTATAACAATAGGTCTTAAGTTTCTGTTATAAGTTATATATGTACCATATATTTGACATTATTGCCACCCTCGCTGGTGCAGCGGTTAGGACACCACCTTCCGATGGTCGCGGGTTCGATTCCTCACACGGTGCAAACATTTGTGTTTATGAGTGTGATAGATAGCTTTAAGTGTGATTAAGAGATAGCTGCGATCATTCTTGTTTGGAGTAGTAAACTATATAGTGCACAACCCCGATGTTAGCTTGTCGTGTACTTAATATCCCTAAATATGATTCTTTTTATTGGTTTGGGAGTTTTATATGTATTTTATGTATCTATTCAAATGCATCTATGTATTTATATCAGTTGTCTTTCCAAAACACAAACTTTGTTTAGCTTGGGTCTAAATAACACTGTGTGAATTGTCCTGATATATTATTATTATTATTGTTACTTTCTATTAGTTACATCACTGGATACATCCTTTCTAAATGGGTTTAGTAAATTTTAGGGCCAGCCAGGTGGCTGGGCATGTCGTTTCATTTGAATTCTTCTATTTTTCTTGCTTACTGTTTTTTGTCATATATCGATTCGTTACATGCTATTATGTTTGTTTGTCTTACCATTCCGAGCATGAAAAGGAGTAGTGACATATTGTAATCTTGCCTTTACTCTTACCATATGAATAATACAGTTTTCATAATTAATTAATCCTTGAAAATGCAGTAAAATGCATCATGCAAATATAAAAATGTGACAAACGTAATAAGCTACATACACTATAATTTATATACATCAATCTGTCATTTTGTCATAAATTAAGTTATCATAAAACGGATATAGTAGGTACATCTGTTATTATGCCATGTAATATAGTATCATTATTAGATACGTAGCCGTCAGTGTAAACACGCTATAAACCTTAAATACGCCTTATTTAAACAAACTTAATACAAATGAGCACTTTTTAACTAAATTTAAAAATAGACAAAAAAACAGAAACATTTTATTGAATGTCTATTATTATTTTTGAAATATTTAAGGCTTATCTTCATATTAGTCTGTAGTACAAAATATACTGGTAGGTCAATAAGTATATCTATATATTTTATTAATTTTCCTGAAATAAAATAAATTTCAGTTAATATATATATATATATATATATATATATATATATATATATATATATATATATATATATTTGAATAAGAAAGTCAACATGCTGTAAGTTTGTTATTTTTTACAAAAGACGTTTTTACAATCTATACTTTAGAAATTTTACATATTCATCGGTGGATATATACTCGCACATACTGCAGTGGTAAACGATCATTGTAACTTATGAAAACTTAAAAAGGATGTACGATATACTTTGAAAATCCCCATGCTGTAGCCTTCAGAGAAAAGTTCAGTGGGTTTATCCACAAACTGAGTGTGCAGAGGAAAATTCCTTTGAAAACGCATTCTACTAGACCCTCTTTACATAATTATTATATTGCCATAATGATCTAATCTTACAGTAGGTACTCATAATATCTAATAAAAGACCACAAACAACAGAAAAGTAACAACATAAATATAAAGGCCTACTAAAGTGATACTATGGTATGGACTATAAAAAAGAAACTGCTTACATCACATCCTACTGCCTACAAAATTGACTCATCACTGATTTATCATCATGACAAGGCAACATATTTGGTTTGTAACTATGCCGAAAATAAGAATCAGGTACCGTGCGTGTGATCAAGTAACAAAAAACAAAAATAGTACCAGAAATGTTTAGTATGTTAGAAGAGATATATATATTATGTTAGCAGGAAGACAAGTTACTAAGGCCGTAGTGACAATTTCTGAATCATAATAGGTTCTAGAGAGAACATCTTTCATGCTTGACCTAACGACACATCCCTATTACTAATAATCAGGCGTTCATAAGGCTACGGCAACCATTACCATCAGATGTGCCGTATCCCAATTTGCCATCGACGTAGTATAAAAAAAATTTCCTCGTCTCGGCGTCCTTGCAACAGATTTTGACGGATTTCGATTTGCGGATTTAATTTGTTTTGAGTTGAATAGTCTTGGTGACGATTAAAAAAAATGTGGTAAAAAAATATGATATTTTGCCCATTCAAGTCCACACAATACTTCACAAAAACAATCTTGTTTAATTACTGACGAATTCGTTACGAAAGACTAAATCAAATCAAACCAAATAAAATCTTATCAAAAATGATTTATTCTAGCCACTTATGAATTTCAAATTTTACCCCTATCGTCCAGTTCAATATACAGATATAATTCAGAAAAACTGGCAAAATACACAACAGTTTTTTTTAATAGCCAGTTTTTTTACATTGTGTACTTATATAGGTGTCTATATCTAACATTAAGCGAAAATCCCATGCATGCATATCATTGCCATCCAAGTAATCGTTAACTGGCCTGAGTTCATCCCCATCCTATCGTCTAGTATTGGTGACTTGCCAGCGTATACCGTTATCGCAGGCGGCATTATTCCATATACATCCGATATAAAACAATGCAATGGGTTAAGGAGATACTATATAGTGTAGTAGTGCCTATGTAGCAATTGTAGTTAGGTATATTATGACAGATATACATGCAATAAAATAACGTTTTAGATCCCCATAGTAGGTACTTATTTATACAATTAAAATCATTCAATTGGTATTCAACTTTGTTACATACACATAATGTGTAGCGGAAAAAATTGTTCAGTATTATAAATAGATAAGAATCTCAATGCTTCGTAACTATAATAGCTTCGAACTTACATTATTAAACTCTTTACATTATTTTCAGAATATTTCAATAGTTTTAAGTTATTTAAGCTATTAATTTTATAATTCAGGGGTTCATAAAGAGAGCGCCGCCGCAGGTCGCGCCGCCCTGGTGTGATGATGTGTCGATTGCAATTAATTACTTCATTTTTATGGTTTTTATGGTTGGTATATATTATAGCCAACTTAATATTACAGAACAAGTAATAATAATAACAAAATTTGTATTTACAGTGGTCAGAATATGACGTCTACCTAAAATATGAACCATTGTAAATGCTACATTTATTGCCAATAAGCAAATTTAGTTAATAAACGTAATCAAGTATTAACAAAACCTAAAATACATATAAATGTAACTTAGATTACATTAATGTCTAGAAATATGTAATTACACGTACATTGCACTTTGATTATTTCAATTAAGTACAAGTGACTTTCCCACTTAATTCTTCTTTAGGAACTTCCTTACAATATTCCAAATGCGAAAGTGTGACTGACTGTCTGTTTGTTTCATATAGACAGATTGAGTCACGAGATCTGATAAGGATAATATACAGGAAGTAAATAGGCAATAACAATGTAGTAATACAATAACAGTACAAACAGAATACAAAATGCAATTTCATTGTGTATTTAATAATCCTTGAATATCAGATGAACATCAGTTCAGTAATTAAGTTAATTACCTGTCATATAAAAGAGGTAAAATTTGTCTCATATTAGGTTACTTAAATTATGATTTTGTTACCTAACGCAGTGTCAAAAAATAAGCTACGACTAAAAAAACGACGTCAATTCATAATATTTCGTCCCACTATTAAAACGTCTCCTCTAATAAGACTAAAATTAGGTTAAGTTTATTATATAAGTAGCTTGCGATATTTTGTTTTTTATTTTGAAATTTGTTTGAATTGCATCTACTTATATAGTTGTTTTGTGTGTTGTCTCATCTATACATAGATGATGATCGAATGGTGGACCAGTCTTCACTAATGGTATACGCTGACGACACTAGTGAATGAAGATGAATTTCATCGCGGCTAGTTTTCTACAAATTAATCAGGGTCAAACTATGAAAGCAGCTATTGGTTGACCAAGATATGAAGTAGATACATCCCAGATTTATACAGTCGTATCCGTAAGGCAATTTGCCTTCAGATACTCTATAACTCGAGTTTATAGTTTTCTTTACATTTAGCTCTATTTCAGACCAGGGAAGTATTAAAGATCAGATGGAGTACAGCATTACAGCAGTTCGAAGTAAAAACAAAGTAAACAATTCAGGAGTAGGTCAAATTTCCGTTTGACTACTTAAAGTATGGGCTATATATTTTAGTCCATTAAAAAAATATTTCTAACATTTCGATTCGATTTTGTTTAGTATAAAATGTTAGATAGGCACTTAAAAACATTGGCATTGTCTGTATATTACGTGGTCGTTCGATGAATGATACATAGAATGTAATATCATCAATGATAGCATGCCTCTACTGACTGTTGTTGCTATGTCTAACCTGTTGACATTTATACAGTGAAATGTGTGTTGGTAAGTTAAACTTAATATTACATTAAGTGTACATAACCTTTGACAAATCTTATTTGGTATGTACAGAAATCAACACAGGTCAGACTCGACTGAAACTGTTTTTATATTATTTCAGTCAAGTATTTCATACAACTGGATTTATTTTACAAATTATTATTATCAACAAGTTTACTTGCAACAACCGTGTACAGTCAAAATAATGTTAAATTCAGTATTAATTCTTTAATGGAGGCCGCTTTCCCCTCTTGGGACAAAATGTATCCTAAGTTCAACAGAGGATCCAACCGATGTGAGTAATTCAAGTGTTTTAAATAGTTTTTTTATGATTACGTATATATAGATAGGTAGATAATTAATTAATTCTGATGACGCTTGCTTAGTGAATTGTTATCCGGAGTGAAGGGTGGGAATTAGGAAGAGTACGAAGTAATGTCCGCCCTTAGTGCACGGAAAAAGATGGAAACGAAAAAAACTGTATGGTTTTGTACCCTTGCCTTTACACTTTTCGGTAAAATATGGTACCTACTGCTATAATAATGTATCCTGGATGGATCATTTCACGATTATCATCTCGTTTGATAAACTGTCATATAGGCTTATCTATTTTAGTATACGACGTACGGAAATATGAACTGTACCTAATTATAATATAGATACTATTGTTCTCGTTTGAAAAAAGAACAAAATTAATTTAAAATTATAATATATTTATATTATTAGGATTTGGCAAATTGTTATTTTATTAGTCATTTTTTAATTACAGGTGAAACGTTCAAAACCATTTTCGGGATCACTTATGAGCAAATGCAAGAGAAAAATATAACGAGTTTTTACGAATCACTCAGTATAGATTTAATCACTAAGAATGGAAATATAAAATACAATATGACTGCTTCCAACCACTTGACTAAGTTATTAGCAAACGCAAATGAAATAATGGTTCTTATACACGGATTTCTGGAAAGTTCCGAGGGAGTGATGGTTCAAGGAATAGCTCCGGAGCTTCTTAAGAAAACGGGATATACAATTTTAGCGCTCGATGGAAGAAAAGTAATTAATCTAGAATATTTTCGATCTTCGACTTACGCTAGATTTATGGGTGAAAAACTTGGAAACTTTTTGGGAGACATTATAAAAGGTACCTCACACTAATTCTAACTTAAAATTTAGTAGTGTCAGTACGCACAGTTTTTAAGTCTTTAGTTTTATGCTTTCTGACTTAATTCTATGGTCAAAAACAATTATCAAATGAATATTTATCTACGTGATATGCCACTGCCATTATATCAAAAAGTAATATTTTCTCTCAATCTAGTCCTATAAACAATAGTCTCATATAAAATAAATACCAAATTACATATCAGCTAGTTAATTCTGAAGCAAGGTTACATCTACGTAAAAGTTTCCGGTTCTATTCTAATAGTACCTAAACATTAATAAATGTTATGTATTTATCTAAGAATATCTAATGTATCTATTTACTCCCGCTTAACTATGTATTTAATATAACGAATCATTCACTATACCTACTATAAACTATAGCATTTGAGATTTCTTACAGGTGGTCAAGATCCATCAAAAATCACCTTAATTGGTCACAGTTTAGGTGCCCACATCGCTGGTATTGCAGGGCAAAAGGTACAAGAGGTCACAAAAAAATCGATAGCCCGTATTGTAGCGCTAGACCCCGCTGGTCCTTGTTTTGGAAACGTGAGTGCAACGAACAGATTGGACAAATCCGATGCAGAATATGTGGATGTACTTCATACCAATGCTGGAATTCTGGGTCTATTAGAGCCAGTAGGTAAACTTATTTTTAATAATTTCTCTAGATATTTCGTGTGAATCTGTAATTTCTATTTCTATAAATTGTTTGGTATTCATTTCTTATTACCATTACGGTTATTATAAAGGATAAAGGATCCCTGTGCAAAATTTCATGTTTGTAATTCTTGAAGTTTTAGCGGATTATTAAGCAGGTTAATCATTTTGATAATCTTATCTTTCAACTCAGTTTTTGGTAACAGAATATTTTTTTATTATATCAATTAGGATATATGATTAGCAATGATCTAATTATTGCTAATCAATCATATTACTCCTAATTGATATAGAATATCAAGCATCAACTTTAATGCAAACATAAATAAATTGTATTGGTTTTCATATTTTTATTAATAAGAATATTAATATTATAAAAGCAAAATTTTATCACTGTGGACGGATAGATGATGATGATGATGTTTGTTATTCTTTCACGCAAAAACTAATAAATAGATTTTGATAAAACTTTACTGTAATATAACTTATACATTAGAATAACACATAGGCTACAAATTTCATGCGGGTGAAACCGCGAGTACATTTTTATCATCATAATTTTCATATATCGATTCCAGGTCATAAAGATTTTTACGCCAATGGTGGAAGATCACAACCAGGGTGTCTGCTATCTACTTGTGACCATACTCGAGCGTGGCAGCTTTTTGCTGAATCTCTCACTATGCCTGATAATTTTCCAGGTAAATTTAATTTCTTAAAATGTATCTTATATCGCTATTGGTATCATGTTTATATTATATTTATATAAACATAAATAATAATTCGAAACTTACTGTACTGAAGCAAAACGTATGGGTCTTGTTATCGCGGTAGCAATATATATGTATAAAAAAGTACGTATAAAAAAGTACAAAATTTATTTTCAATATTGGAGTACGATTGTGATTTTACTATCTACTTATACTAAACAGAGTTCCACGAGTATTGCCACTGGGTTTTTCACGTACTGTGTCCTTAATAGGGCTTGGGCTAATCATATTATAATACATATGAAAATTGACTCATTTTCATTGCCTATCCTATATTCCATTGTTTGGTGTCGGCGCAGTATAACATCCACTTCCATCAGTCCCTATCAAACACCACTCTACTTTTATGCATATCATCTTTTATGTGAAAATTTACTTATGTGTACGAAAAAATATATAGTTATATAAAGCGATGCAATTTTAAGTCATTTTTATCGAGACAACAAACTGAAGAACAAAACTTTAATTAACTACATATTTCTGTGTTCCTTTTCAGCTCGTAAGTGTGAAAACTGGACAAAATTCAAAGATGGATTATGTGCCAAAAACGAGGTCGCATTTACGGGGATTAATTCTAAACCTGGGAAGCCAGGACTTTATTTCTTTAATACAAAATCCTCGTCACCTTACGGATTAGGTTCAGCTGGCAGCGGATAAATAAAATATATTTTACATATACGTTACATTTTATTTAATGAAAAATAAAACATTATATTTCTATTATGGGCATCCGGATATGAAGTCGTCATTATATAGTCCCGTTTTTAGCAATGTTTTAACCCCAGGCTGCCTAAATGGGGTCATTTATACACCCCATACTCAAAATTCTTTGTATTTTTTGACACATGTGCATTAACATTAAGTAGCCTATTGCCACTTATTGTTATATATAGTTATTAAATTACGTATGGGTTACTTATACAATGCTTAATTTGATACGGAATAACATATTGGTGCTATAATTTTTTAAGCGTATGAATTTTAAATAACCTGACTGGTGCGCTACCGTCGTCTATGTACATAAACAGAACAACAAACATCATATTACTTAATAATAATAATAATACTTTTCTTTATTGTGCATATAAAACTAACAAAAGGCGGCCTTATCGCTCAAAGCAATCTCTTACATGCTTAATGGATTTTTATTTTGTTTAATCCCGCTACTGCGTGCGGAAATCTGACTTCCTCTACAGGAAGCGACTTTCCTCACTAGTGATTCCAATAACGCCGACCGTTATTGGATCTGCATCCATATTGCGACACGTATTTCATAGTAGTAGCATAATATATTAGTTTGGAAGCCTAGTGTTGATTGTTGCGCGACAAGACTTCTACCAAAATCACGTTATCAGGTGACATTGCAATTCCGAACGACTAAGATTTCATCTCTCCGACCGTATAATTTCACTGTGTAAAACAAGTCTAACGAAGCATCTTGTTTAGTTATATTTTATCGAATTGGGTGTTATCTCGCGTAAGTCCCTTTCGTTACTTAATGCATTTTTAATATGCTGTTTAATTCCGCTACCATTAGCATGAACAGATCTCGGATACAGCTTTGGACGCAGTTTGGAACAGAATTTGATCACTAATGGAGAAGGTCGTAATGCTTCCGGTAGCGTTTGTAGGGTATCTGCACTGTGGTATCACACATGCTAATGGTAACGGGTTTAATAAAAATGGTATAAATCCATTACGTAACCTGTTTGGCGACTGAAATTGGTGAGACAGAGATATCGCAGACTTTGTGTAGTTGTACTTCTGAATTTCAATGTACTAAGGAATATATTTTTATCTTATGTCACGAAATATTTTTTAAGTTTGAAACCTACTGTAATGAAATTCATCACAATGGGATAACTGATGCGCTTTAATGTGACGTCTCAAGGACTTCAATATTTTCATTCATGTCAAAGGAAAGCTAGCAAGGGCGTTTATAAGGGGCTTTTGTTTCCAGTACTCCATAACTCCTCATTCTTTAGACTGGAACACATCCATCTATTATAGGATAGAATCATTATACACAGATATTTTTAAAAATGTTTGTTATTAAAAAAGGTTAAAACCTGTAATAAGTTTCGGGAAATATTAAGTTTTAGCGGTTGTTATTATTTAAAGATACCTACTACAGAAAAGTGTGAAAGTAATGTCTCATGAGTAATTTGATAATTATATAATATAATAACTAATATATGCATACCAAGTTAAATATTACCAATTTAAAATAATAATAAATTATTGATAATATTCGAGATTAATAGTGAAAGACAAATTGAACATATTCGTTTATTTTAGAAATAATATTACATTACAGTTTCAACGTTTCAGCGATTCAATAGGTTAATGTCATTTAACATTGGTTTGTAATCTAACTATGCATACTTTAATTTAGATACGGCCATAGTCTGTTTCGGTTGAAATAACATCTTTCTCCTAGCATTATTATAATTGACAAAACATAAGAGAATCCTAAGAGGAAATACGGACTGGATACGTGTGTGAAATCGAGGCTGATGGGTGTTGTGCCTAGACAATCTGACAACGTGTTCTGAAGTGTCTGACGCAATGTAAATCGATTGATTAGACCCAATTCATGAAGTCGTGATATACTGAAAGAAAAAATAATTAATGTAGTTTTTTATGGATGATAATGGAAAGGTACACGCGCCTGTGCTTTATGCTGGCCGGTCAGCAATGGAGGTGGATAAGATGAACATAAACTCAGGTCAGTTAGCCCATCGCAACAAATTTACCAGGACTTTATCTTGTCAATCTGACATTGTACATTGCTAGTAATGGTGTCAACAGTCCACATAACTAATAACTCCTCCCGTATGTACAATTTAAAGTATCACATACTAGTTATTATGCGTGATTATGACTGTTTCTTTATGATACAATCTATCTTCACGACAAACATTCAGAGGTCCATTCAAACGTGAAAAAATAATAAATAGATACACAGCCACTTTATCTTATTTATGCTATTAGTATAAATTATAAATTAACACAAGGATTTTATTACTTAAATTTTCATGTGGTTAATAGGTATATAGCTAATATATAGTAAAAAACGTACCCGACTTTGAAAAGTTCTTTATATCTAAAATTCTTAGAAGATACGATATATTTCTTTAGATTCGATAAAACATCTACTTCTATGAGTTCGCATATTTCCTTGTTATTGAATTCTGAAAAGGAGGCAAATTGTTTGAACATTTCATCATACCAGAAAATTGTATATGGTTTCATTTCGATTGTTATCATTGTACTAGAGAAATGATATGAAAACTTATAAAAATACATTATTTTTGTAAATACGAGTACTTACTACTACACTACATACATCAAAACAAACATACAACAGACCAAATAAATTCTAGAAAATGTTTGTACTGTGCTAGAAATCGAATCCACGATCGGCGAGTAAAACGGTCTAAACCGCTGAAGCACCGTATATATGTATATATCACATAAATATTGTAAATATTACATAATATTATATTAACTTATCTATTTAACTTACTTTTATGGATTTCGCTATAAACCGTCGTGAAGTCAGAAAGTAGAGCGGTTTTGTTAGACCTCACTGCTTCTAATCCGACGGATACATTTATCCGCTCTAACGTCCCAAAATCGAGAGAGAGGGCAGTTTCGCAATCTGTCGTCTAAATTGATAAAATAAATATATTTCAATACTTGGGTACAATCAAACTTTTGGAATTAATACATATTACTAGTATCCATTTATAGTTCTCCAGGTATATGTAAGTAAGTTAATACGGAATTAAAAATAAAAATATCTTCACGAGATTTATCTCAGATGAGACAATCAGAGGCATTGTCAACTGTGGACGTCATGGTGAACGTAAACTTGATATGCCCACATTTCGCTCGGTATACTCGTAATAAGAGACGAGTTTACCACCGGGTCACAAATGGTTTGTTATCGGTTTTCCATCACTAGAGATTTAGTCAGAATCTAATAAATTGACTCATAAATCTTTTTGACAGGTTTGAACTTTATTGTTATGACATTTTGGACGAAGTTGTTGAGTCGACCACTAGTCAAATGATATACAGGATAAAAGGCATAACATGTTAGTGCCATGGAATGGTAACGCATCAGATTGTTTACCTTTTCAATTATATAAAAATAAATGTTACTCGTAATTGTGATGTTAAAAATATATTCGCATTTTTCAGTAGGTACTATTAATGAAAACGATCTCTCTGATTGAATATGGGTTTGAATTCTAATTGAAATTATTGAACTCCCGGATTGGTACTCAAACTATTAGACCAAGAGTAGACAGTACTAGATCACAGATAATAATGTAAAGTATTACACTAAGTGACTTTGTCTGTCTGTCCATAGTATTGTGTACATTCATCTACACTTACTGAGGGTGCTTGTTCACAGTATTAATAATAATAATCAATTACTTTACTATTGGACAGAAATAAAAAGTATGGATAGGTATAATATTCTAAGCAATAATTTCCTAACTTAAACATTTATATAAGCAAAGCCTCATTTTTGTTATGCGAATTTTTCTCCCTAGTAAATGTTATATTACTCTGAAATTGAGTTATAAATTAAATAAAAAAAAAACAATAATTCAACTATTACAATGTATACAAAAGGCATATATTAGTGCGTTTGACTTATTAATATTATATTTCCATAAATTAAACGTCTATTTAACCAATAGTACTGTACGTGTTTAGCACGGGAATAAATCGCAATAATCGATAATACAGATATGTAAAATTAATCTATTTAATTGTGCAAAGTATCTAAGGGACCACAATTACTTACATTTCCATGTCCTCGTACAATATTTTCCAACAAAACACACTTATAATCGCTTTCCCCCAAAGTTTCTAGATCCATATCGTAGTCCTCGTCTATCACAAGGCGTGAGAGCAGGTTGGATGTATAATACGAGTACACGATGAAGGAGAACAGAAGGAAAGTAAAGTATCCTATACGGCGAGATCTGAACACTGTTTCCACTGGAAATGCTTGAAGAAAACGTAAGCAATATTTGATTAATTTATAGTTTGAAGCGGGTAACATGAGAACTACTGCTCTGCTAATGATGCACAGAGAAAGATGTCGAATTAGAACATAGAAATATACAGTATAATGCATGTTCTTTTCTAAATGAATTCATTTTAACTTTGTTTTATTAAGTAATTTATATATATAGTAATAATAAATAAGTAGATTATATAGTAATAATGTCTTTCGCAACTAAAACAAACAAGCTTTTTAGTTTTATATATGCGAAAAAATGTACATGTGTATTTAGTGTATATAATATATTTATTAAAATTTAGTTATATAAGACATATAACTGAACTCTAGTACAATCCCTAACTAGTTTGTGACTAGCGGCAGGTATGTGTTGCTGTACAAATTTTTTATTTTTAATAATATTCTCATATAGATTCATAGATCTGAAATGGATCTGAATTAGATTATAGTAAACCTAAAACCGATAATAATAGATATCCAAATTGAATACTCACAGTGTTGACAACAACTCCCAATTGTTAATAAAACTTCTAGGAAGAAGCTACATTCAACATGTCTTCCAATGAATCGTCTTTCATAACATACCAATATGTAAAACACTAGCGTACACACAATACACATTATAAACAAGGAAAACCATAGAAGTGACGAGAATGGTTGCCAATAGAAATCACTCAATACCTGTATTTCGTATTGTCGCCGCAGAAGAAATCCAATCCTGTGGATTACAAATAAACACTATAATTCATTTACCATAGGGTTCAAATGAGCTTGCGGCACACTGGATGATATGTACGCAACTCCGGGCTGTGGGGAAAGTATTGTTACTAATGTGGACTGATGTCTCCATCGCTAGCAATATAGCACGTCAGGTTGGCCTTTGCACGGTTTTCCCTGGAAAACATCAAGATAAATTCCTAGTGAACTTGCCATGTGCTAACTGACCTGACATGATGCTCATCTTATCATCCCTGTTGGTGCCTTGCGGCTGCACCATTTCATTATCAAACATTAAAAAATCTCCATGGGATTGCAGTTGAGTTTTTACAGACGATTTTTTACTTTGTCTGCGTGAATACCTACCAGGTGAAATAGGTTTGTCACGTAACGTGATGTGCGTAATGCTAATAAATTTTAGAGGAGATAACTACCGCTTGCCATCACAAGAGCTGTAAACTTGTTTACCATTCTGTTTATATAAAAAAAAAACTTTGAGGCCTTTTAGGCAACTGCTCTTTTCAATATCATTTTATAAGGGGGAATGGAGGTTGCCAGTAATGGGAAACAGTAACACTCAATGTAAGTTCAACATTGCCAACTGACTATCTTTTTTTTTGTTTAGAATATTTAAAATAGATTTTTTTATGATTGTGCTACTTAAAAAATGCAGAATTAGTATAGAAAACTACCTTAAAAAAATATTTAAATTCTTTAACTTTACATAGAATAAAATAAAGTCGCTTTTTGTCTGTTCTCTTAAATCTGTTAAACTATGCAACGGATTTTAATGCAGTTTTTAACAATAGACAGTGATTCAAGAGGAAGGTTTATATGTATATTACAAGTACACCCGTACCAGCCGGGGCTGGTAGTTAGTAATATATAAATACAAACATTACTGGTTCTTTAAGCAAATACATATTATATATACAGCTTTATATTATTAATATTTTGTGCATATAAAAACTATATTTCATTAACAATTAAAACAATGGTACAATGAGAGCTATTCAAAACACTAGTGTGTAATGGCCTGGGCTAGATATTTTGAGTATGTTATTTAATTATGTTTTGTATATAAGTACGTACCTATGTTCGTACTTCCAATCTATAAGATGAATCTTGACGCCTCTTGAATAGGAACAAAAAATAATATCCGTGTTGTGTTTGCTATGACCTTAAGCAGCACATTAGTTATTTTTACTTAAGTACATCGATAATAACTAAATGTAACTTTTTATAGACATTTGTATTATTTATTGATTAAGTGAAAATAACATTCCAGTTCAAATTATTGACTGAATGCACATTTACTTAAAGCTGTAGTGTTAACAACAATAATCGGTAATAGATTGGATTCGCAGTAAAAACATCGATCGAACTGATTTTGGATTTCATATATTTTTACACACGTGATGGTACAGTTTAATATAATTACTTATTACCTAACTTCAACTGTCAAATTTGAACAACAAGAATTGTTCAAATTTGACAGTTGAAATTTTCTGATTAAATCCAAAATCTCCGCTGAAATGATATTAATAAAATAATATCATATACGTTATTATAATAAAACTAGCTACTCACCCCCGCTTCGCACGGGTATACATGTATTTATTATAACTACATATAAACCTTCCTCTTGAATTACTCCATCTATTGCGAAAAATGGTTGCGTCTTTTGAGATCTAAGTGAACAGACATCCGAAGCGACTTCATTCTATACTATGTAAAGATAGAAGCAATTATTAAAATATAATAATCGCAGCAGTTTTACAGCAGCAAATTCTGATATAAAAGCTTATTTTTGTTCTTTTAATTATATACTCTATTATGCACTTTTAAATACATTAATAATGTTAATTAGAAAAAATATTACCAAAGGACTTATCTCTAAAAGAATTCTAAGATCGGTAGGTGCAGAAAGTATAAAAATAAAATAAATGTTTGGATTACGTACCGCCATGAGAAAATAGCTTGTAATGGAAATACATTATCCAAAATCTCTCCTCTAATACTTATCGGTCTTGTGTAGATATCTACAGAGTCATTACGTAAAAGTAATAATGCATATGACTCCATATTTGGTTTAATAGGTACATATGAAATGCTGTAAAAAATATACTATTCAATTATGTATATATTATATATACATAGCTATTGTAAGGAAATGTTTTCTTTAATCTATTTACATTTCATGAACCTCTTGTCTATGAATGATATTGAAAACCGACAAATGTAAATTACGGTACAAAGTAAATATATGAAAATTATTGCTCGTATTAATATATTATTGCTCTGCTAAGTAAGTATAGTTTAGATTTCCATAATAGTTATAGTTTCACAATGTTATTTATGCCTATAGAAAACAGATGGTTTCCACCAAGTGGCCCATCAACTTGTTACCATACAAGCATTTTTTTAACTGAACGAACCAGTGTACAAAAAACCTTCAAGGTTACTTGCTACTTAAAGTACAGCAGGCGCTATGAACATTGAAATCTTATATTATTTTGTTTGGTATTGCTGTACACGACGGGCAATCTTGTAAACATATGTAACTGGCTGACACCGCAAACATTGTTTAGCCATATAATATATAAATCGTTATTAAAAATAGGTGTTTATGGTAAAAGGGTGAAAATTTAGGGTTGCGCGTATTTTTAATGGCGAACCATAAAAAATAAGAAATAATGTCAGAAACATTTAGGGGTGGGACACCCTTATCATTAAGGGGTATAAAAAATAGATGTTGGCCTATTCTCAGACCTACCCGATATACAAAAATAGGTATTTCATAAAAATCGGTAAAGCCGTTTCGGAGGAGTTTGGTAACAAACACCGCGACACGAGAAATTTATATATTAAATCTAAAATCATTAACAAGTTGCAATCGAATTAAGTAAGTAAAGATTAAGAGATGAAGATAAATTATTATTTTAAGGAAGCAAAGTTACTGCCAGTCCGGATTTAATAGTATCATTTGCGTGGATAGGACCTTTTTTATTACTTGGAGAAAATCCCTCATGGAGACCTGCCCGCACCGGGGGAGGCAAGCGGGTACTGTGAGACTATAGAACCTATTTCTACCGCCAAGCAGCTTACTTTGTAAGCTTTGTTTCAATTAGAGAGTGAGATATGGTAGTTACATTACAACATCTTATTCCTCCGGAATAGCAACGCGTGAGGGTACATTGCATATACAACAGGTATATGCAATGTGCGTGTACCTATAAGTATTATATTATTATTATACATAAGTAGATATAGAGGTGGCTGCGTCCGCCTAACTAACAAGTTAATAAATCAGTGCGTAACAGACCGTCTCTGTGTTTACTTGTCTGCCCTGTATACAACAGTACCACTGGCTTCACATCATGACTTGATGGCTATGGTGATATTCTTGTTCTACATATACATAAAATATATCTAGATTAAATAATTCACGAGCTAACAGTTTGTTCAGCAGGATTTGAACCCGCATCAGGTCTTGTCAATTTCTGTGCCAGCTCACTTGTTACCCCGACTAAACCAATGAGCTTTTGTATATCAATTTGTCAAGATCCAACAGATCGGATTAAGAGATCAGGTGCTATATTGTGTAGTGCCACACATCAGAAACATAGGCCACGTGATTTGAAATTCAAACATTGTACTATTCCCAAGGCTTTTCCATTGTACATCGAAAATAATATCTTACACTGTATATAAGGCAATATTAATTGAAGTATAAATTAAAAAAAATTTAATTAATAAAAAAGTTAAGGACATAGCAATATGGCAGATTTATATATACCTACATATTTACATTTACCTACATATAGCCATTTTAATACTAATATTATAAATCTGAAAGTATGTAAAGCCTGAACGGATTAATTTTATTAATTTCATTTTGACATCAAAGTATCAAGGATTATATAGAGCCCAGGGTCATAGATCAGGTGAACTATGTATATGTATAATAGCTATATATAATATACATAGCAAACAAAATTTACTTCACGTAAAATATCATTAAGATCCGTCCAGATAGATATAGATACTTCAGAATTAATAACATTAGTATGGGTGTATATAGTTAATTCATTGTATTTAAATTTTATGATTCTATTAATGACTTGTATTTTAATTTAAAATCAAGAACAATGAAGAATTCTATTATAATGTTAAGACGTAGACTTACTTAAACTTGAACATATCACGTAGTACTTCAATGGTCATGCAGCCGTATAGACTGTGTCGCCACGTGGGATCGAATCTGATTGCATCACGATCGGAGTTATCATCACAATCGTGTAATGTGGCCACTTTGATGACGTCATTCATATCGATGGAGAATCTAAATATATCTAATAATACAGGATCCATAATTTTAATAACATTTTCTTAAATATAAAGTTAGGAGAAAAATTTATAAAAGAAATATTATTTTTATCCAATTTATTCAGAAAAGCACAAATTAACTGATTGTGTTCAAATGTTATTTGATAAAAAAAAGCAATTAAACACTCTAATAGTTAAGATGAGTTAGGTTTTAGAGAGAACAGCTAGTTGCAATATTTATTATATAGGTACTTATATATATAATTATATTCCTGCATTCATAATTATACATATATGAGCCATTAATTAACAAAGCACGTTCATTATAATTTAATTTTAAAGCTGTGCTTACTTGTGCTATATTTTACTTCCATGTAAATAATAAACACGAAGACGTGCGACACAGAAAACGTTCCAGAAAGTTCTGTGAATATATGTAGTATCAGTTTTGATACTCCAAATCTTTTAATATGTTTACAATGTTGTTTAACATTGTATGTATATAAAATTAGTAAATAATGTTACTATATTGAAAACACAGCCAAGCAAGCCAGTATAATGATATAATAATATTTACATCGGAACCAAAGTCCTTAATTTGTTTGTTACTTAATTTCTTCGTCAGAAAGTTTACCTGTGCTCAATGGTACATTTATTGATTTTTAACTAGTTTCAATTGTCAGAAGTTCTACATTCATTGCATTTTTTATGTTAAGGAATATTATTATTATTAGTAAAACCACGTCGATGACTCTGTCAACGGATGCACTAAAAAGTTAAAATTATATATTTATACAAGTTGTTTATTGCCTCAGAACATACAATATAAAATTAATAAAAATAAATATCAAATATCTTTGGTATATATAATATTTTTCAAATGTATGAATTTACATCTAGTTGGTTACTTAAAAATTGAGATGACATATTTAACTAAATAATACATAATGGCGTTGAAATTTCTTATTCCTAAAAAATTCTTGTGTCGGTATTCACTTCGCACTGGTGCCACAGTATTTGGGATACTTATGAGTGTAAGTTGATAATAAGAAAGAATTGGTACTTCTTCAGTATTGTATATGTATGTAGCTGACCCGCGTAACTAGGTCAGCAGCATACTTACTTGATTTATATAATATCTTTTTAAATTATAGCTTATGTGTTATTCTGATGTATAAGCTATATGACTGTAAAGTTGTCAAAATACGTACAGCAGTTTTTGCGCGAAAGAGTAACATCCATCCATCTGTACAAACTTTCGCGTTTATTACATTAGTAAGATTACATTTAAAAATTATTTGTATAAATATCGATGTACATATAACAAAAAAACGTGGAAAATAGCAATGTTCAATTTTTCTCCACCGACAATATAATATACTACTACGAGCGCGTTTTAATCACAGAAAAAAGAAGTCTTAAATTATGAATGAATATTAATTTATATTCATATTCTTCTATATTTCATGATTAAGGTTTATTATAAAGCAATTTCAAATTGATGTCAAAATAAACTTTGAACATCAAAGAAAATTGCAATTGAAAACTGTTGCATTGAAGTACTTACTTTGCAAATTGACATAAAATACAAATATTACTGTTTTATATCTTCTACAAATGAAATATTAACATCTATATAATTATTTTGCAGTGTTTAATGGTAGTGTGCTCTGTAGGAACATTAATTCAGGTTTTGTCCATGGACAGTTGTTTGACCTGCGACCGGTTTCCCTGGAGAAATGCTTATAGTTTCAGTATAACCGCTGTTCTGTATTCTCTAATTATGCTCGCTGTTAACCTTTGGTTCATTTGGGGAGTTACGAAGGTAAATAATACTTAGATAAATTAAAACAGATATCTTATGACGACTCCTTTTCATTTATGTTGAAAGTTACTCTATTATTTTATAAATTAAATTGACTGCGCGGTTAGTATTGAATATTCAATTTGTACCTACTACATATTCCAAAGATGAAAGACAGTTATTGTATAACATTGATATTTTAGTATATGAATTATATTATATCTAGTTTATAAAAACTCAAAGTAAAAGTTATTTAATTTAAAGTGAATGGCTAAAACTGGGTTAGTACAAATAATTTATTTCTACTTTTATTTTATTTAGAAGTTTTATCTATATATTATGTGAATAAATTTTCTAAAAGTGTAGGTAATAAATGTTTCATACTCATACTACACCTATTTACAAATCTAGAATTCGTTGTAATTAATACAAAGAATTCTACAATTGTAAATAGATTCTATGTTATAATGAAATAAATAAAGTAAAAGTACAAATAAATTATTTGTACAAATTCTGTTTTTGCGTAGGTGTAGCATAAGTTTGTAAAAAACAGAGTTTCTAAACTTACACAACTTTAAACCTAGTATTATTAAAACAGTCAATAAAAACTAGTATTATTTTATTATTTTCTTTATATGTTGGTATTTAAGGTATTTATAATATGGGCCAATGTTGTTATATAATTGATATTAAGTTACCTGTAAATAATAAATAAAGAATAAAATAATATTATGTTCTTCTGTTTACCTTTCTTTCAATAGTATTATATCACTTTCACTTTTTAAGATGATATTCTTCATATAATTATGTTTCAGGAAAAAGCGTCTGTGGTGCTAAGCTGGATTGTAATTACAGCGACTTGGATGGTCCAATCATTATGTTTGGTAACCATACTGCTATGCATGTATAGCAAGGAAGCAAATTTTTTTTCGTGGTTATTTAGTACTATTTTTACTATGATTGGCTTTGGTGAGTAGGTAACCTTAGATATAGGTATATTTATATATTTATAATGATGACTTTAGATATCATTGCTAATATAAATCCAATTATCTGTATCTACGGATTTTAATATAATTTGACATGGTAACGGAAACCAAATATATATATATATATATATATTTTTAAGTATAAAAAGCACATGTAAGTACTTGTTTATAAGCCAAGAAATCTGGTATCTCCGTAATTCTATTCAGGTATATAGACAAGACAACAATAATTATTTTCCATCAGGTACCCACCTGCCCAGCTTTCAATTTCATATAAAAATATTTAATATCCATCGCTTATCGCCAAAGCCCGTAATAACTGTGAGGTTGTTACTGTATATTATTATTTGAAATAGGATAGACATAATGCTACTTCCTTCTCCATCACATATACCTACTATGTCAAATATCATACGTACCTATATATAAGTATATACTTATTAAGTAAATAAATTTAACTATAAGTGGTAAGTGTAATGTATGAAATAAAAAATTAAAATGATTTTTGTTAATAGAAATCATTCATATGAATCTGTAATATTATATTGTTTGTGTTCTTTCAGGGATACTTTTGTACGGTTTTCTGATCGGTTACGGATATTGGTTAGAGTTAAAGCGCAAACGGAGGATATCCGGACCGGATATTCGTGAATAAATATTACTTTTCATTGAAATATTGTATTTATCCCAGTATTCTCTCTTAGTTTGGGCTCTGTTTTCGTATATTTCACTTATATCAAATACATCTACATTAAATAGGAAACATCTAGATCAATACAATCGCACGACCAGAAAAATAAATGTTTGCAGTGTACTGAAATTAAATAAGCTGTTAGATAAATGATATAAATTATTATCGGTGCCGTTAAATTTTCTTTCTTAATTTTACTGTAAGTCATTATCTACCATTTTCGTAAACCTAAACACTTTTGATTCTTAAATTAGATCTCACTTTGATCCCAAGAATAGTAAGAATGATTGTGTACACAAATAACAGAAAATTATTCATAAATTATATATTTTCGTATTTAATTTAAGGAATACATAATTCATTTATATAGATTTTTATTACTTATTCCAATACTCTTGCGATAGCTGTTCACGATCAAAATAAAGTATATTGTCACTGAAAAGTAATAAAGACCACTGATGTAAGGCTGTAAAAGTATTTATTATTATTTATTGTTATGCATTTTATCTCAATCTTTATATAAATACTTCTAGGAAAAGCAATACTACAAAAATATTTAGTTAATTCGAGACTGAACTATAATTCATTAATAACGAGTTCAATAATAATAACGAGTAGGTATATACATGCAAAAGAACTTTCCTTACAACTGCATTCCTAAGTTCATTCTGTAATACCGTTGAGACATGCTTTAATTAAAACTAAGCATTAAACGCTAGATGAAATCCTTAGATTTTCAGAAGTTAAATTTATAATTTCTGAACTACTGGAGACATAAGATTTATAATAATAGTTAATACACGTTTATGGCGTAGTCGGATGCATTGACATATCGGATGGGTTAAATTGTTTTGTATCGGTGTTTCCATCACCGGGAAATCAATCAGAAATATTAAATAAAATAATTTACAACACACGAACATTTATTTGGTATCAGAAAGACTTGAACTTTATGACCTTTGGCTAAATAACTACACTCCAAACAGAAATAAAATAGAAAATAATAAATATCAATATGTCCATGAATAAAATTAATGGCACGGTGCCATCTGCACAGAAACTAAGCAGAATGCAGCATGGCCTCGGTGGTCAGCAGTTTAGCACACCGCTTTACTTCTGATGGCCGCTGGTTCGATTCATCAAACGGTGTAAACATTTGTATTTATGCGAATGATTATTTGTATTAGTCTGAGTGTTTTCTATGTATATTTTGTATTAGATGACAAAAAACATACATTTAAGTATTTGTTGTTTATCAGTTGTTCTATAACATAATTTCTGCTTAGCTTGGGAATAGATAGCACTATGTGGATTGTCCAGGGTTATTGCAAGCATTATTACTTGTACTATTACATATATAATGAATTCATTATGTAGAATATTGTTTTGTACGCACATAATATATATATAATACCCAAACAATGACAAAACGCCTACTAAATCTGGACAGGCACAACATAAAAATAATGATAGGGACAATGACGGGCCACTGTCCCTTAAACAAACATATGTACACAATAGGTGCTACAGACAGTCCCCTGTGCCGGGGCTGCTTTGTAGCCGAGGAAACGGCTGCTCACGTAATCCTGGAGTGCTTGCAGTGACCACACAACGTAATCAAATCCTCGGAAGGGTAAGGTCGCTCCGTGAAGCCTGCGAAGACACTTGGAGCTTTAGTAGCCTGGCTCTACACGCACAACGGCCCAAATGAGAGGCCAATATATATAACCTACATTCAATTACATTACAATACCCAAACAAATACAATCACACTCAAAATCTTTATATTATATGAGCGTGAGTCGAAAAAGCAACCATCGTAAAATAAGGCAGTATGTTAAACATATACCACCAATATTATAAAAAAAAAACTCGTACAACGACTTACATAGATACCAAAGTATGCCAATTATTGCGATAACCACCCTGTTTCTTTGTTTCCTCGATGTAAATACTAGAGCAAGGAGAATCATCATCATTAACATCACCACCACAAAAATCATTGTGTACCAGACCCAGATACAGCATAGCAGAGCATCATCCTAGAACCAGAATCGTAAAACTGTACCATAAATTGAATGTAGTAAAACAGAAGGAATCTTGTTTTCATAAAGTTATTACCTCATAACTTTATAAAGGGAGAAAAATGCAAAACAAACATGACTGTAATGAAATTTATTATTAACTTGTGTTGTGTATTTATTATAATAAGATATTTTAAAAAGCGCTTTAATATTTTTCTATTATACTGAAGTGCATGTCTATATTAATGATAATGGAATGGAGTAATCCCTTGAGGATACTAGCGTCCTTCCAGTCGAGGATCATAAGATAAGTATGAGGTCAAGTCAGCCAAATAAATTCAACAGGAATTAAAAGTGATAATTTCTAGGGGGGATCACATAGTCAATCAAATACGGTACATTGGTACTGTATTACTACAGTCAATACAGTCCCCTTCCCTCTCAAAAAATACAAGATTATCTTACCTTAAGAACGCCACAGAATAATAAGATACTGGCAGCAAAAAATAAAGCGACCAGTATCCAAATAGTGACGAGAAGATAACTGATAGACATAAATAATGAACAACCATATGCCATTGGATGCACCTGGAGAGTGGATAAATTAATATTATATTTGTACTAGATTTAAAGTATAAATTCCTCTAGAAATGGTTATAACTACGTACAATACAAACAGATGCAATTATCAATGAACCGGACTTCAAATCTGTACCAAAGAAAGAGTTTAAAACGGGTAAATTGTCTAGTTCTGTCATAATTGGACAATCTATTAAGACCTAAAAGTAATTCTAAAAATTATAATTATTGCAGTTCATTAGAATCCCCTTGTGAATAATTATAATTTTCCTGTAAACATTTGTTGTTTATGTTTGTTGATATTTTTCAATTTGACATATAGTATGCAAAGGTTTATAAATCATACAGCCTTAATCTTTAGGTTTTTTTTATATATCTATCACTTAATATTCATCCATAATATTTCTGTGGATCGTAAACGGAAAAGTAGCCAAAATAGCTTTGATAATGTTTTATTATATGACAATAAAAATGCATACTGTTATCATTTTTTTTTAGTCAGATTATATTATATTCAATTAACAATTCATAATAACTTATATATATGTAACTTAGTATAAAATATAGACGCTATAATAAGTAAACAATAACGCTTTTTCTCGTACACTTTGCAGTTTCAAAATAAATTATAGTTTACTCTAGTTTCTTACTTCAGTTATAAAATATGCTCTTTAAAAGAATAAATTTACTGGTCCGAGGATGTTTTACCAGCTCCCGCATTCTGTTTAGATTATGCAAAACAAAATGCGCCGTAATAAAATTAAGATATATACCCTATATACAGGAATTGTCAAAATATATATAAATTTTCCTTTGCCCGTGTTATTTAATAAAGAAATTCTCAAGTAAATATTTAATATGGCATCCAACGTATTTAATAGAAGTATGTAACATTAAACATTCCCTTTATAAAGATAAAGCAATTTAAAGTTTGTAGCTACCGGAGTGCATTACTGCAGCGAAGAGTTGGAGCACTACTTATAAATTAGAAGTTCGTTTTTTTATTTTCTTATTTGAAAGAGAGATACTGCAGAAATTCTAGATGTATAAAGTTTAAGTGTTCCTGTCCTGACTGTGTGTACTATCGTGCTAGTAGCGTAACTGTTACATCTGGTCGTAACCAGTTCATTGCAAGGGTCACCGCCTTTATCTTTGTATATATGCTTTACGTTATATAATAGTTTTTTAAATTGAACCCACAGTTTAAATTATGCAATAAATATTAGCTTGTGCACTTACGGGTCCTCGAATTACAGGCCCTATCGTGGCGAGACCCGTAATATTTTGCTCGGTCTGCCACTCTGTTGTGATAATACTCAATCGTGGAGTATCTTGACATATAAACTGCTTATATATATATATATGAAGAAACACTACGAATATCTCTCTGACGTGTATGTAATATACTGTAGATACTACTGTTGCATTGGCATTTATCAGGATCCAGGTATCGTGACTTCAAACCAGTAATTTCACTGCTATATCTTATATACACTTACATATGTATGTGTGTATATAATATACGTACATATAATGTATAGTTTGTTTTACTACATTTTGTCGCTAACATGCATAAGAAATATTTTGATTACAATATATACCTACTATATATTGATACTAAAGAAATCGCCTGCACATAGTCTGTTCCAAGATACATATGTTACCGGTGTTCGTAATATGAAATTCTTGAGTCACGATGCCCATAAATTTCCCTTTACAACTGAAATACGCCTAACAAGCATAACTGGTTGGATAAGATAATAAAGTTTAATATAAGCACTTTTGAATAGCCATGTTTTTGTTTATTCTACCACGTCCACTTTCTTCTATTCTATCACGCAAGTTTGCGTACCACGAAACTTGCGTGTTCTCGTTTAAACAAATATTGTTCAGTATTACATTTTAAAATTTTGTGTGAATATCTACAAACATGTCTGATTCCGTTTTTTAATCTATTTTATTAAATCGTCTTTTTATTAGGTTTTATCGTGTGGTGTGTTGGTGTGGTGTGTGTTGAGTACCTATACCATTTATGCAAGCTGGTGCAACATTCCATTATTATTAAAAATATAACATTATTTTTTGTTACAATTAAAAACCCCGCATGTCAGTTTTTTTAATGAGTAATGGGGCTGGCTGGAAACCAGTGCTGTATAGGTGCACCTCATTGTGGTTGTACTTATATCAGCAACGGCTGAGGCAGCTCCTATTACCAAATATCTATGTTACTTTTTATTTTGTGTAATATTTGTAAATTGTATTATTTGTGTTATGTTGGCAATAAATTAATTAATTAATAAATCAATTGTACGTTAAAGGAACAATTTAATAAAAAATATAATGTATATATATACTGTAATATACATAATTTTTTATATGACCCTTAGAAACAAATAATAACCTGGCATGTTACTAATCCAACAGTAGAACTTGATTGATAATCCTTTTGTTTCCAGATATAATCCCTTTGGCGTCATGGTAAACAAATGATGAAAGAAAAATTAATCCGCTGTTCACAGTATATTTTAATCTAGAATAATCCAATTAACCTTAGTTGGGAGAGTTCTGGGTCACAAAAAAGATTTTGTCAGAAATATTGTTCTTTTGACAAAGCTGAGCCAGCTTAACAGGAATAACAGCTTAACGTCCTCTGCAAAAACGAACTGGTCACATTTTTAAATACTTTAATTTTTAATTATTGAAATGATGTAATATATTGTAGTACCTAAACTTTCAGCAGTATTAAAACTTAGAAATTATACACGTGAATGTAACACGAGTTGTAAAACATACAAACATTCGCTAACAACAAACTTATTTTAACACGGCGAAGTCTTATAATGTTTGAAAAGTAATGAAATTTTTTAGCTGTTTTTGATTAATAATGACTGTTTATTTTTATATGTGCTCCAAATGCAACATATTTTAAGAAATAAGCTATTTGCAAATAATGTAACGGAGGCGCAGAAAATAACTATCTTTGTTTGTAACTAGCGAAAGTAGTTGCAAAGTTATGACTGCTTTAGTTATTTACACTAGAACTATTGGCAAAAGTATTGGATATTGAAGCCGTTAACTGAAATGTAGTGATTATTTGCTAAGTGGATTTAATAATAAATAATAATTTCTAATACAATTTCATACTATTTAGGTATGGTTATTTATTAGTGGTCTGTTAAATAATGAAGATATTTGTGCATTATTATACCCATGTTACTCCTATTAATGAAGGTAAGCAGATGACTTAGTATAAAGTAAATAGAGACGACTAGAGATAGTATCATCACGGAGCTATTAACAGTTCTTTTAATTTGATTGTGTTAATAATAATCTTACAAAAATACAACTAAATATGAATCTATGTAATACTGTAACAACAGTCTCTAATGGTTCTATAGAGGTACCTAGATAAAGAGTATCCACAATATTGTACTAAACTAGTTTTGTTTTTTTTGGCTCGGGCTTTTATAATTCTGCTATATGCTATTTTTAAACATTTCGCCATCTTCTATTAGTCCACCATTAGGCACCATGTGATACGGTTGAGGTTTATGAAACATATTTTCAGTTATATTCAACAAAAATATATGCATAATTTAATTTTTTTCTCCCCAAATTATTGGTCCTTCTTGTCACTATGACCACAATTATGTTTCTATTCTATTCATAATCGGATTACATTTAATTTCATCCGAAGCCTCTTGTGAGACAGATACCAAATTGAAAATAAATCTTGGAAATGACATTGCTCTGCATTGAAAAGCAAACAATACTCATTCGAAACGAGTCGCAAATGGTTGTTCCGATTGTTCCTTTAAAAGAAAGATGTTTATGCAGAACAACTATTAACGGGGATAACTTTACGTGGGTATATATAGAGTAAATTCTAAAGAAATAGACTATAATTTACTTTATTAAAAGTTTACTAACATAATAAAAATAAATACATGCCATATCTTTATGAATACCTTATATTTATATTATATTATACACGTAAAGCACCAACACCAAAACAAACAATCATACACAACAGATCTTTGTACCGTACAAGGAACGAACAAGTGACTATCGAAAGTAAGGCAGTTTTACCATCGAGGAACGCCAAATTTCATAGTTCTCAACATTGTTTTCATCTTCATTTTATCGTTTTCCCCTGATGGAAAATTAAAAAATTCTCAAAACAATCTATCACTCCAATCGATAAATAAAAAAAATAATCTATTATCAAAGACTGTATCTGTATGTATTTTTAATCATTATTATATAAACATATACTCAGCTTTTTTTATTCTCCATGTAAATTTTAATTGTCCCTTCATATTTCTATGACCATGTTATTTTCCTACCCCCATTTACGTCGAAACAGCGTAGAGCAGAAAAAAATTACGCTAAATAATTATACATAAATAATAGTAGTAATAAAAAAATATTTCAGGCAACTTGATATATCAACAAGTATAGTTTATATGATAAAATATTATATTATAACCCATATTATAAACATTTTAAGAACTAACAAATAACCCTATAAAATAGTGGCAGTTGACAATATTTGTAATTACATAAATCGCATCGTCACGTGATCCGACCCTCATGTCATTTTGACATATTTATGCATGGCATAAATTATGCAACTCGGAAAGTTACGTAGCCTTTTTTTCATATTCAAAATGCCTATCTTAAAAATAACTTACTATAAATAATTTACTTTAACGATAAGGTGGAAAGTGAGATTGTTTAATTAATATATGTATACAACCTCTTTTGTCATTGTTATGTGCCAGTATATTAAGAAAAAAAAAAAAAAAAAGTTATTTATTTAATCTGTCAAATATTAATTAATGTGTGACTTGTGTAGAATGAAAATGATAGCTAGTCCAGTGTGTAATTATTGTTCAAGCGGAGAAGTACAGACTCTGGATCATCTACTCTTCGATTGTCAACAATTCAATATACAACGTTTAGCTCTAATTGACAAATTAATGTCCATTTACAAGGATCTGAATATCCCGCGCACTATTCAGACTTTACTTAAAAATCAAGAAACATACAAACCAATTTATGAATATATTGTCTCCACAGTAGAAGATATCTGAAGAAAGAAAAAAGAAATTAAAATACAGAAATTATACCAAAGACAACGGCTGTATGGGCTTAGACTCTTTGCCTTTCCATTACGGATAAATAAAACAAAACAAAAAATTAATTAATGTGTGAATTTGAACAATACACCTAGATAAAACAAGATCAAGATTTTTCATTTAAAACAATTTATTTTTAAACATTTTATGGTCCTTCTTACGCCGATATTAACTTTCACTTCAGTGATACAATATATTTTCATACAATTTGGACTTTTGTTGTTTGCATATTACAATGGCTGATATTAAACCACATATTACTTTGTTGTTGCACAATTCAAACAAAATAGTGAAATTACTTACAAATACGAAGAAATGTGCTCGAGCTAAAATTACAAGAGGATATTTGGAGGCGCGTGTGGAGATGCTATGTGAGTACTGGTCGTCTTACAAAAAACAATATGACTACATTACAACTACGTATACTGAATCAGAGTTTAGAACACATAATTTTGAACCACAAGACAATTATGATTCTAGCGAAGAGGCTTATTTAGATCTCAAAACATGGATAAAAGATTGGTTGTATGAACATGAGACAAACAGTACAAAAATTTATGATAATAACACCACCAACTCTTCACACTCGAGACCTAAACTTGCACCCATACCACTACCTGTATTCTCAGGAGATTATAATAACTGGATTAGCTTCAGAGATTTATATGTTTCATTGATTCACAACGATAACAGCTTGTCAAAAATTGAAAAATTTCACTATCTTAAATGTAGTTTGACTGGCGATGCAGCGATTTTAATAAAGAATTTTACACTTACCGAAGCGAATTATCTAGATGCTTGGAAGAAACTGGAAGAGAGGTATGATAACAAAAGAGTTATTGTTAACAATATATTGAATCGTTTGCTCAGTCAGAAAAAGTTAACTATAGAATCAGCAAAAGGCCTTAAAGAATTATTGGATACTACTAGCCAATGTCTTGACTCACTAAAGAATCTCAGTATACTGGTTTCTAATTGGGATGCAATCTTAGTTTATATTATTGTTGGGAAGTTAGACACCGAATCACACAAACTTTGGGAGCAGTCTCTTGGTAACTCTACTGAGATTCCTACTTATGTCAATTTAGCTTCATTCTTGGAGAACAGATTCAGAACACTAGAGATGATTAGCTCCACACAAGTAAAAGATATCTCTAAGAATCCATATGCATCACAAAAAGTTACATCTGTCAAATCTTATGCTACTGAAGTAAATAGTACTTGCACATATTGCTCACAGAACCACTACATATGTCATTGTAAAAATTTTGCTACGCTATATATCTGAACGTCAAAAGTTTGTAAAAACAAATAACATCTGCTTCAACTGTCTAGTTAAGGGTCATTCTGTGAACCAGTGTCGGCAAAGCACAACTTGTAAGAAATGTAGACGACGTCATCACACTTTGCTGCACATGTATACAAACCTTAACGAGTCAGATATATATAGTCTACAGAGAATCCTTCCACGTCTTGTCACACAATTAGCACGAAGACTGAAACAAATGATAAACAAATCCTTTTAGCGACAGCTCGAATTAAAGTAATCGCTAAAAATGGTTCTACTCACATTCTCAGGGCACTCATAGACCAGGGCTCTCAAGCTTCATTTATGACAGAGGCAGCTACACAATTGTTAAATCTTGATCGCACACCTGTAAATGGTAAAATCACTGGAATATCCAACTCACATGCAGTTACTAAGTCCATGGTAACTCTCACAATTCACAGTACAAAATCATCACACTCACAATTTGAAGTCAATGCCTATGTACTTCGAAAACTGACTTCTTTGCAACCGTCTCGAGAATTCCCACAAGATACTTGGCCTTCTTCAATGCAGCTAGATCTAGCCGATCCTGACTTCCACAAGCCAAGTTCTATAGATGTTATATTAGGTGCTGATGTGCACGCTCACATAATTCTCGATGGAATACACAAACACAAGTCTCTCGTTGCTCTTAATTCTTGCCTTGGCTTTGTTGTCTGGCAGCGTGTCACATACTGATGCACCAATACACAATAGTATTGTCACTCACACAAATTTGAGGTGGATCAGTTACCTAGGCAGTTTTGGGAGATCGAAGATGTACCTCAAAAAAAACACATGTCAACTTTAAAAATAAAATGAGAAATTAGTACACGCAATGATGATGGTCGATGCATCGTTAACTTACCTTTTAAAGCCTCCCACAAGTCTTGGTGATTTGAAAATCTTGGCTGTCAATATCTTAAAACAAATGAAGAAGCGATTTTTATACAAACCTGAATTTAAATGTCACTACAGTGATTTTATAGATGAATACTTATCACACAAATACATGAAGATGATACCTGAAAAAGAATTTAACACTAATAATAAAAAACATATATACTACTTACCTGACCATGCTGTCCTCAGGCCGACGAGCTTGAGTACGAAGTTGTATGTAGTCCTCGATCGTAGTGCTGCACCTGTGAACAGAAAATCATTAAATAATGAATTATTGATTAATCCAACTGTATTAGACATTCGATACTTTATAAGGAGATGGAAATTACATAAATTCTGTTTACTCGCAGATATACTGAAAATGTATGTACAAATACCTGTAGCTATGAAAGACAGGCTACTTACTGTTACTTTTGATACGTTTTGTACATCTTTATTGCACCAACTGACAGACGATGAATGCAGTGAATTTCTCAAGGAATCTGAAATACTGAAAGAAGACTTTTGTATGGATAATTTATTAACTCGTATACCAAGAAAGGAAAATGCCATATTTTTTCAAAATCGGTTAACGGAATTATTAGGTCGAGGTGGCTTTCCTTTACACAAATGGTCGTCTAATAGTAAATTGTTATTGTATCAAATTTTGAACCAAATAAAATATTATTTTATTACAATCACTATTAAGGTAGAAAACACAATTAAAACTTTAGATATTGTATGGTATTTACGAATTGATAATATTGAACTATTTTTAAGTTTAGAATTTAAATCTCACAATGTTACAAAACGAAATGTAATCTCTACGATAACTGAAACTTTCGATTCTTTTGGTTGGTTAGCAATTTATATTATTGTACACTTTATATGTTGTTATATTTTTGTACTTAAAATATGTATCCAGAAACTTTGGCTAGCTGACTTGGACTGGGATGTGGAGCCACTATCAGAATTAAAAACCGAATGGTTCGCTTACCTTAGTAATTTATCACACATAAAATTCATTCCCTTTCCAAGGTGGTTCAGTGTTACAAATATCACTACTAGGATAGATTCATATTGTTTTGGTGATGCACTTTGCGATGTTTACGCTGGTGTTATATACAGCCTTGTTAATAAATTACTTGATCATTGTGTATTCGCACGAATTAATTCTACTATAGTTTTCAACTGGTTAAGTAAAACTTCAAGTACTAGGATAACATTTGTTGCTTATCAAACTGCACAAATTTTAATTCTCACTAATTGTAACCATACTCATACTTTTAACAATCCTAGTAATGTAGAGTCACGTGGTTTAAGTCCAAATGATTTGACATGACAGTCAAAACTGTCTTGGAATGGAGTTCAATTTTTAAGTCAAACTCACAGTATTGTAAGTAATTATTCTTATAATCCTATAACAAGTATAAAGAGATAAAAACAAAGATGAATACTTAAATTTGTACAACTGTAAATAATGATGTTAATGATTTCATAAACACGTATTCAAATCTTTTAAAATTTATTCTTGTAACTGCTTTCATGTAAATTCTATATTTTATTCACTGCTGTAAAGGTAATATTAATTTAATCAAAGTTGATTACACTTCTTACTCAACCGCTTCTGAAATAAAAAATACGTTACTTACATGTATTCCTTGGTTACAAGCTATCAATTTCAGTAATGAAATTAAGATCTTAGTTCAAACCTAATGTGTTCATAAAAGCAGTAAGTTATGTACTGTTAATCCATTTCTTGATAGTATACCTAGAACAGACTAGTTAATGCAGAGATATCAAATTATTTAAAATATCCTATTATTTTGAGTAATAAATGTCACTTATCTAAACTAATAGTCTCTGATGCACATGTAAAAACTCTGCTTGATGTTTTGTATCTTACCATTGAATTTTTTCATTTGATAACTGTATACCTTATTCACACAATAATAACTGATACTTTTGTTTTTAAACTTATTGTAAATTTATGTTTTTCACTTTTGTACTGGTTTCACCCTATAGTATCTGTAAAGGACTATAGTAGTCCTTTGGGCGGCGGTATGTTTAATTAATATATGTATACAACCTCTTTTGTCATTGTTATGTGCCAGTACTCGTATTAAGTAAAAAAAAAAAAAATATTTAATCTGTCAAATATTAATTAATGTGTGATTTTGAACAATACACCTAGATAAAACAAGATCAAGATTTTTCATTTAAAACAATTTATTTTTAAACAGAGATGCTCTAAAAATGTTATGTTAAACAAAGCACTTAACATGTCCACACTTCACTGTTTTTTATTTGTTATCGATGTTATTATCACCAAAGACTAGTTAATGACTAATAATTTAATACACGATATTCTTTGGATCTAAGTTGTGGTTTAAACCAGTGTTACAAATCTCTGAGTAAAATAACTAAATATGTAGGTATTAAAGGAAAGGTATTGTTAGTTGAATGAGGGATAGGGACTAAATAGGGCTAGCTATTTTTTATTTTATTTTAATTTGTTAGGTCACCATCAAACTTTACACCAACACAATTAGGTACATTGCATATAACATATTACAATATATTTAATATACTAATCGAAACTTAATAATATAACTATAAGGTATATAATATACAATTATATTATTATATTGATATAATATAACTACGACATTTATATGAAAAATTTGCTTGCAATTAATAAAACGTAAGACGTAACAATTTTATGTTAAAGAAAATATATATTTTACAGCACTGATTTAAATAAAACTATTGAGAAATCTGCGGAATTTACAACAACTGTCTCTAAATATGTCCACTGCTGAGTGATTCTTTGAATAATCGTTGTAAGTTCTCATTAGCCAGGTTAAAAATTATTGTACTTTATAAAATATATATCTGAAGTCCATTTCCTCATCTTATCATCTTCCACCAATACCATAAACGGGCTTATTAAAAATATATATATAATTTTTATCAACAAATGTTGTTTTAAAACCAGTTTCAAATGAAATACTGATGCACTAGTTCCAAATGCAATATATAAATATGATGGTCTGGAATATATTTCTATAGTTTTGAATACTTTTTGTTTTGATAAATCTTGTTCTTGTTTTTTTTTTCTACCTGCATAACCTACAAATTCTTTACAATTTTAAACTAACTTCCTTTTTTGTCAGGAACATAATACTAACACAAAATTTGTATAGTAACAATTTACGACAAATTCACCCATAATCTTAAATGTCTATAGTTCTGCTGAATATTTTGCCGTCTCTGTATTTACCTATTATTATTTTTTCATTTAGGCTATATGAACATATATACTTCATTATACATAACTGTAACTTGGTAGTATATTAATTATTATAGAAAAGTATTACTATAGATAAAATACCGCTAAGGACTGCTTTGTTATAAATTAATATAAAATGTCCTTGCCGAGTTAATCTTTAAAGAATGGAATGTTTGCAAAACGATGGTGAATCTTGAGTATGGAAAATTCATTAAGAAACTCTATTAGTAAAGAATATTGCTCGTTCAGAAATATATGCTTTTCGGATTATAAAAATAGGGCTATTATCTATGAAAAATTTAATCTGCTTAACTACTTATACATTATAGAATATACTATTATATAGAAAATAAAAATTATATCTTAAAATCTACCACCTAATATAACCGTATATTGTGTATGGGACCAAAAATTTGTAATAAAAATCTTTTCTTAAATGCACAAAAGACGTACCAAATAATATATTTAAGCATAAAGTAAAGAAATTATTCAATCTAAAATTAATTATAATTTTCTTCTAAGTATTATTGTGTGTTCCTATTGTTACTTTTATATTATCGTCATCGTTCTTTTTTTTTCATTTTACAACAATTATATGTAAATTTTATGAAATATTTACGTACTTCGAATGATAAATCTATACCTAGTATATGTTTATATAATCAAGCATGTTTTTTATATATATATAAATCTATTGATCTAACTCCGATTTTGAAATCATTAATGAAATATGTACAATAATAAATTTTAAAAACATACGAGTTATGTTTCTTGAGTAACTTACTGTTTTTACTATGAAGAATAT